AACAGAACCAAATTTTGTCCTGATTATGTTGACATGATTGTCTACAGATGTAAACCTCGTTCGGACGAGAACCAGAGTTCCAACCGAGGTTTCTGGGGAGGTTTTTACGAACTTTATAAAACTTGTCAGAATTTAGATGATTTTCGTTTGGTTCTTAATAATCCTGGCGAGTCTCTGATTGCCTTCGTGCGTTTCCCGTGATCTGCTAAGGCCTCCTAGATCACGAAAAAAAATTCCCGATGGTCTTCTGAACAACCACTTCAGAGCAACACGACAAAAACCAAAAAAAGTGCGCTTTGTCTCTATTTTCCTTCATGTCTCATATTACCCCGTTCTACGGTATTCGTTGTGTTACCTTTTGTTGGCTGAGCGATAGCGAAGCCCGTTACTCCAGTGGGGTTAAAAAAAAATTTCTGTCTGTGTGCGTGCGTGTGTGTGCGCACTACTCCTCCTGAACGGCTCGGCCGATCTCGGTGAGATTTTGCACACTTTTTGGGTATGTCCTTGGCTCGACACACGCGAAATTTCAGTATCCTAGCTCAACTGGTTCAGTTTTTATAGCGGAAAAACACCTAAAAACGGCGAAAAATCGAGTTTTCTGCAGATAGATCATTTCTGTGTTGGAGAAAGGGGGGTCTGGGGGGCGGAGCCCCCCCGCCTCGTCAAGTTAAAAAGTGACAAGGTTCAAGATCGTGTTATCTGTGGATAACAACTTTATTTAGAATGTAGGGGGGTCTGGGGGCGGAGCCCCCCAGCATTCAACAAGCTAAAAATTAACCGACAATGGACAAGCCGCCTGCCGCAGGCAGGCTAGCGCCGCAGGCCAAGGTAGGTACGCCAGGCGTGGATTGGAGGAACAGGCAGCGAGACATCGCGAAGCCTGTTACGACAAGACGCGGTCTGGCGTAAACCTACCTTGTTATTCATGTGCCAGGCTTTATGTTACCTTTTGTTATTCATTTGCCAGGAATTAATATACAAAGGCGCGCAGTTTGAGCCCCGCGACCTGAAATCACGCATTTTAGCATGATTTATTGCCACGGGGCTCAAATGGGGCTCAAACGGGGCTCAGGTCGGGGCTCAATCCGGGCTCTGAAAATTGGGGCTTGGGTCGGGGCTCAAGTCGGGGCTTAACCCGGGCTCAGGTTGGGGCTCAGGTCGGGGCTCAGACCATCGGGGCTCAAACGGGACGGGGCTCATGTCCTGTATGCCAAAGAAACGTAGGTCAAAGATCTGCCAATTAGCCCCTCGATCATCGCACCCCTTCTCTTTCCGTAGAGGTTTCGCAAACCACCTCATTGCTTTCTTGTCAAAAACCAGTGACCTGCAAGAGGCTTTGGAAACCTGTAAGTTGTGTAACGTGTCCGTTCCTTTTTTTCTGTAATTTAATTTTTTTCTATCCCCTCTAAACTCTAGTTCCTTTGTCTCACTATCCCTCTTCTATTTTTAATTTTATTTGGTGTCTGCAGCACCGCACGGTCATGTAGCACGTAAAGCTCTTCCCCGTTCAATTCAAAATTCTCGCGCTTCGCTTCATTTCCGGTTCATTCTCCCCAGTTTCGAAAATCCCCTCTCCTGCTGCATCTCCCTTTTCCGGTCCCCTCTCAGCCTCAGTCGCGCGCACACGGTTTTCCGAGAGCCAAAACGTGCATTCTGGCGTTGGGTTTTGTCACGTTTACCACGTTTCACCGGCGCAGATCCGAGAAAACCCGCTCGCCGTCGACAAATTATTGATGTCGCTTTCCACCCGCGAACGGTAAGCGCCGCGTCACAGTCATTTTCGCTCATTCTTTTCGTTTAAACGTGGTGCCCTGAAGGTTATGTAGCCGATCAGCTGATGTGATGTGTTGGTGTGCCCCAGGGTTTTTCTTGTACTCTGCTAAGACTTCTCGCCATGGCCGGCTAGAATGACGGGTAGCGCGATGGACGCTGGACGACGCGGCACAGCTCGGCTCGCAATGACGGGCTAACTCCACTTCTCTCCATGGCGGCCCTCTGCACTTCAGCACTCAATCTTGTCAAAATGTGAGGTGACCAGTTACGTTCAGTGTGGGACCTTGGGAGGCAGTGTGGAGATCCAGATCATGGCTGTGTTGATAGGGGACAGTATTCTGAAGCGGGCTCTAAACAAATACCCCACCTCTTTTCACTCAGTTTCCAACCAGTTATGTGTGAGTGGGGCTGGCGTGCAAGCTGTCAAAGTTTTGGTTAAAGCCCTCCCTATTTCTGGAAAAGTGGTGCTACTCGTAGGAATTAAAGACATCTTAAAGAAAAGAGATTTGGCCTCCACTTGGCAAATCTATGCTTCTCTAGTACGCACTCTCATCCGAAAAGGGTGTTCAGTATATTGCGGTTTGCTGTTGCCGCTGGCCCACTCTAAGTATGACCCACTGGCCCCCAACATAACCCAATTCAATTTTTGGATAAAAGGTCTAGCTCAGCAACCTTCTGTACAGCTGCTTGAGTTTCCTACTGACTTTGCACTGAGTAATGGCAAGGTAAATAGGGACTTGTATGTCCAGCGCACTGTCAAAGGTATTGAATGTATTCATCCTAACGCTGCTGGTCTAAAGGTACTCAGAGATTATATTGTGCAGGCGATGGGTGACTGAGGGTGGTCCATCGCCTCAGCATGGGTCTCCCTTCTCAGCAACCTCTCAATATAGTCTTGGTATTCGAGTTACCTATCCCTTGTTGTTATTTGCTCTTGCTTATGCTTTTGCTTTTCCCCAAAGTACCTCCAATTGATTATTTTCTGCTGAAGCTTTGCTTATGTTTGTGTATTTTTAATTTGCTTGGGTTAGGGTGCTCATTGTTTTGCAATTTTGTAAATACATCTTGATATTGTTGTAAATATTGTGCTTGTTAGAATATAAATATTTGCAAAACTAGGGGGCGGAAATCTAGTGAGCCATTTTTATAAAACGTTTGAATTTAGCCTGTCTGCCCCAAGTAGTTGTGTGGCTTCTTAATATTATTTAGCTTTTGCTTTAATTTTGATGTAGGTATAATTCAGCTATGATTTTATGCTGTTTAAGTCACTACATCTATGAGTCTATTAAATAATATTAGTTGGGTAAATAAGTGATTTATATTTTGGCTCATTCGATTAACTGGTTGTCCGCCACTTTGGCCAGCGATGGTTGGGGCTGGTGCGCCCTGCTTATGCGGGGCATAGATAAGTAATTATAGTTGTAATTTATTTGTTGCTAATCGTGACTTCTCTATTCATACAGCTGGGCCCAGTTAATTGATTAATAAACGCATGTTTGTTAATACCTGTACTTAATAATTTATCCTGCCCTTCGTCGCACTGAGTCTGAAACATGAACACCTCTTGGTGAAGCGGCAATTTACTTGCCTGGCGCCCATTAAATATTTAACTCACACCCTCTACCGCTAGATTCTAAGCTAGCAAAAGCTTACATCAAGTTTAGTAACATTCAAGTTACAGTTGGCAGTCATTATCTGTTCTGCTAAATACTATACTGACTTTGAACGGTTATTCTTACTGCCATAGCTCAGGGGTACTCATGTATTCTTACTTTTCCACAGAAATATGTTTTATTGTTGAAAGAACCGATTGAAGATGGTCTTTATTATGTTGCCTGTCTGAAAAACTGCCTAGTATGTATGTATGTAAATATTATGTTGAGAGTATACGACGGAATATTTTCCGAGGGTATTTGGGAATGTCCAAAAGAGCACTGTAAATGTTTCTTTCCTACAGGAACTTAAGTAAATCAACGACGAGCGCTCGGCCTACCAGTGGTGCGGTGGCCGAGGGGTCAGGGCACATCACATCCAAGTAGTAGTTCCGGGTTCTATGCCGACCTCGTGCCGATTTATACGTCGGCCCGAGATGACTTCTCCGGACTTCTCCTCGCCACGACTTGAAAGTTCATAATACTGGTTCCCAGCGCCACGAGTCAAATATTGCCATTTGGTGTAGGAAAGAAGACTTCTGATCGCCAGTGGTCTGCAATGCCATGGCGAAAGAAATTTCATTGCCACTGGCACACGAAATTCATTAAAAGTATAACAAAAAAAGGGGCGTTTCACTAGCCACAACACGAAAATTCGTGTCAAAAGTTTCTACGGGTGTAGTAGCACTCAATGTCTTTGAAGGTCTTTATCTTCATTTGAAAGAGAGCCAACAGTTAACACCACGATATGTAGTACGGTTTAGTAAGCAAAACTGCATTAGAAGGATTCTAGTCGTCGGCGGGTTTGGAACAGGAAGTGTACAAAACCGGAAATGGCGCCGGCAACTCAACCTCGCAGACTTACGAGTGCAGAAATTTTGGAGTTTTCCGAAGCGTCTCATTCAAAAATTACGCTAGTTTCAAATACTTCCAGTCAAAGGAAAGAAACAAAGTTGTCGACATTTCTCCATCTGTACCAACTCGGTACCTACTCCCTTTCTGCTTAGCTTCCGGTTATGTTCTTCCTCTAATTCTTCGATTGGCGACAAGGCTCTCCTATTGTCCTTGGTCGAAGAGAAAAAAAGTTAAGGAAATACCTCTCATTCCAGGAACGTGACGTTACGTCCAAACAAATGTGACAAAATGTCACGTTCGTTTGAGCATTGTCACATTCGTTAGAAGGTGAATAAGCTAATTTATGGCTGATTCACGTCGAAAGGAATGTGACATAGTGCTAAAACGAACGTGGCAATTTGTCACATTCGTTTGAACGTGATGTCATGTTCCTGAAATGAGAGTGAAAACCGGAAATGAAGTTGATAGGGGCTTGGAAACGGAGCCCGGAAACGTTGGCCCATGCGTATCTTTCCTTTACCAAAATGTATTTGGAACAGGCTGCATTGTTTTGGAAACAGCGCCCTTGGAAAACTACGGGTCTGTCAGTATGAGCAGTGGGTATTTCGCATACAATTTTACAAAAAATCTCGTTAGCAGTAGAACCACTGGGAGCCACCGCAGAAAATTTGAACAAGAATACAATATGAGCTAAGTGCTCACTAACTCGTCGGTACATACCGCCGCGGTGTCGTCCGAAAGCCTCACGAGCCTCACGCAGGCCACCTCTGCACAGGGCTCAGCACGCGTGCCAGCGGGTTAGCTGTCTCGGCCAGCCAAGACGCTGTTCCCCAGCGCCACACACGACACGCGAATTCCAGCACGAGTCAGTGCACGAGCGAGACGGGAGCGGACAGCGCTACGCACACCCTGCACGGAGGACCACCCGGGCAACACTGGTGGCTGCACCGTACCGCCACGCCAGTGTGGGATCAGGGTTGCGCCGAGCTCGCTGGTGGGAGGAGGGGAAGTACGCCAGGACGACTGACTCAGCATGGTGTCTGTTGCGTCGTGTTCATGCCAGCGCGTGGCGGTCTATACTATGTTTACACGGCGCGCTCAAGTCAGCGACTAGCACAAGTCACTCGAAACGCGGTCGGTTTACACGCCAGTGACTAGCTAGTATCTTAATTTTATTTTCATTTAATTTTTCAATTTTAAGAATTTTGCTTCATAGCTTTTTCAATTATTCGAATTTTTCGAATATCAGAAATATAAAACACCTCAAATTATTTGAAATATGAATAAAAAAAAGGTTGTCATGGAAAGTGAGTGACTTGCTCTGAAACACTCTTTATGTGACCTTTCAATTTTTTCTGGACCTCAATTAAGGTTAATACATTTATTGCTGCCCATATTTGACAACCTGTTGCCTTCAATTACTGGATTCAATCAAATATATTTGTCCACAATCCGAAAACAACCTCTGCTCTAAGTCATCATTCCCGTTTACACGGCTTTAAGTCAGCGCCTTACGTTAGTCAGTCACCGACTTAAAGCTGACCGCCTTACGGTTGGTCACCAGGCGTTTACACGCAGTTTTGGTGCCTCACTAGCGCTAAGTCACGCACTAGCGGCGGCGTGTAAACATAGTACTAGTCTTGTCAGTCTTCGCCCCGCGGACGCACTGGGTGTCGCCGTGCTTCAACGGACGGTCCTCCAGCTGCAGCGCGCCGTGATCTGCTCTGCGTACACTAGGGTGGTCCACATTTTTTAAAAGTTCGAAAAATTGAGGAGCGCCGTCCAGATTCTGAAAGTAGGTGTAAAATCATGAATTTTGATACAAATATGATAATATTTGGACCATTCTTAGGGGTCCATCAACGCGCCTGAACTTTAAAGAAAAATTGAAAATGTACCGGTTTAGTAAAATCGATGCTGTTTCGAGAGTCTTTGTCCGATTTTCGATTGCAAAACGGCGATCTTTTCGGAAAAGTGCGCTCTTCTTGATTAAGTACATAACATGAGGATACGACGCATTGCCTAGTTTCCAGGGGCGTAAAATCCCGTTTTTAGCTCTAAATACGCCATGTTCCTGTGTTTCAAAGGTGTTTGAGTCGTCCGTTCGGATTTTTTGGGTCACCACTCAACGCTCCTGATCAAGATCTTTCGAAAAATGTCTCGGGCGTCAAAATCGGTTGGTTGGCCTACTGTACAGGGGCAAAAAACCACTAAAATTCGCTTAAAAATTGCACTTTTGTGATACAGAGTATCTTATTTGGCATCGGGTCGGATTTCTTGTGGTGCCATTTGACGCGCCTGGTCAAAAACTTTCGATTACCGTCTCAAGAGTACGAATCCGGTGGGTTACCGACTCTACAAGCAAAAAATGTCGATTGTCGAAAAATTCGTCTGTAGGATATGCAACTCACCGGGCTCAGACGCCCGAAACGGTACTCGAAAGTTTTTGAGCAGGCGCGTCAAATGGCACCACAAGAAATCCGACCCGATGCCAAATAAGATACTCTGTATCACAAAAGTGCAATTTTTAAGCGAATTTTAGTGGTTTTTTGCCCCTGTACAGTAGGCCAACCAACCGATTTTGACGCCCGAGACATTTTTCGAAAGATCTTGATCAGGAGCGTTGAGTGGTGACCCAAAAAATCCGAACGGACGACTCAAACACCTTTGAAACACAGGAACATGGCGTATTTAGAGCTAAAAACGGGATTTTACGCCCCTGGAAACTAGGCAATGCGTCGTATCCTCATGTTATGTACTTAATCAAGAAGAGCGCACTTTTCCGAAAAGATCGCCGTTTTGCAATCGAAAATCGGACAAAGACTCTCGAAACAGCATCGATTTTACTAAACCGGTACATTTTCAATTTTTCTTTAAAGTTCAGGCGCGTTGATGGACCCCTAAGAATGGTCCAAATATTATCATATTTGTATCAAAATTCATGATTTTACACCTACTTTCAGAATCTGGACGGCGCTCCTCAATTTTTCGAACTTTTAAAAAATGTGGACCACCCTAGCGTACACTGTGGGAAAAAATCACAGTAAATCCTGTAGTGATTAGTACAGCTGTCACTGTAGTTCAGAGTACAGGATTTACTGTACTTTTTTACAGGATCTACTGGACTTTGTACGGGATTTACTGTTACCACAGGAGTGGAGTACGGAATATCCTGTACCAGGTACAGTAAAGACTGTGTCCTGAACTACAGTAAATCCCGGCAAAAAAATTAACAGGATTTACTGTGGTTTTTTCGCGCAGTGTACCTGTATACACCTGCACTTCTGGACTCCTCTCAGGTGATAATTTACTTCGCCCTGACAGGCCTAGGCCTGCGTTTGAAGTTCTGACGGTGTCTTTCTCCACTCGGAAGTCCGCCCTCTGGGACGTGCTGCACTTCGAGACGTATTTGCCGAAAGCGCCGAACTTGGACTCACGCTTACGATTCCAGATCGAAGTCGTCGGCTGTAGCCCTCTGGATCTTGAAGGTAAGCACAGGAATTGGAGTATTAGTCACCTTACGAAGAAGAAAAGGTTGGAGGAGGGTTGGACCGGAGTGGTCCACGACACTCCCTGGGCGAACTGGTTAGGTAGCGCGTCACGTATGCTGGCCACGTCCTAGCGTACATTAAAAAAGTGTTCGAAAGCTTTGCTTCGCAACTTCGAAGAAAGTGGAGGCATTGTAGAATTTCCTCGTTTTAAGGTTTAATTTTAAGAATTTACAATGCATCGCTTTTCTTCGTATTGTTTTGCGAAGCGACGCTTCGTTCACTGCACAACGAAACGTCGAAAACTCCACACTTGAAATTCAGAGGAGTGGCATTTGCAGTCTCAACTCTTGGTAGTGCAGTTTGCAGTCTCCACATTTCAAATGCGGAGTCGAGGAGTCAACCACATTGAATGTTTGGGGAACTCAAGATTCCTTTAGGCTAAATGTTTCGTTGGATTTCGCAAGCTTTTAACCGATATTCCGCTCAAAATTTGCTTGTTTTGGCCCTTTTGGGGACAAGATTTCAGATTTCCAGAGATTTCTGGCGCTCAAGCGGACACAAGATTTCGGGAGTGGTTGCCTCTTCGTGTGGAGTTCTCCACGTTTGCACCATATGCTAAGAGATAGGGATTCTGTGAGCTATCCACACTTAAGGTGTGGAGTTGTCCACGTGTTTCACAGTGTAGGCTCTGGACTGAGTAGCCTCAAAGGCACACTGGTAAGGCGTAACTCTAGGCTTGAGTCAAGCATAAGGTTACGCTTGAAGACGTTACGCTTGAAATGAAGCATACTCTGGAAATTCCCCCGTGCCTCTAGATAGGGGGAATCTTGGGGGATGAGACCAAGGGGGTATTCACTCCTAAAAGTGGTCGACATACTAATACCTTTTGAAAAGTATTACATGAATTACATCCCATTACAGCTAATCTGTCAATTACGGGTATTACCTCACTATAACGGCTATTACAGACCTATTACAATACTATTACAGCAATTACAGACGATTACATCGAATACAATCGACGATTACAGACCTATTAGAGTGCTATGAAAGCAATTACTGACTATTAGATTATATACAGTCATTACATAAATTACACAGTATTACACACCAATTACAGCTATTACACAACAATTACAGCTACTCCATTACAATTACCGTCATAACAACGCCATTTTCTGACATTTTAAACGATTTATGTGTTACTATTTACCACCTATTACACATCAATTACACTCCTATTACACCTATTACGAGGCCATTACAGGTAATACACCATATTACAGCAATTACACAGATATTACCTATTACAGGAACTTTCACAGGGCTATTACACACCCTTCGACCAACACCTGAGTGAATACCCCCTTGGATGAGACTGTTACGCTTGATTTCAAGCGCAAACTGATTACGCTAAAGGTAATACTACGCTTTAGTTTTACCAGTGCACTGACTGCTAAACTTATAACCCTTAACTTCTGACATCCTTTCAAGAGGGTAAGTTATTTTTCGTTTGTCTTGAAATTTGTGTGGAGATACTTTTGGAAGTACGTTCAAAAGCCTGTACCCTCAACCTTTGGCAAACTTTGTCTTATGTTACGTTATGAAAGCAGTGTCAGTTAAATGTTAAGTTAAGGCTCCCTGGAATTTTGGATGATATCTCGTTGAAGTTTCAAAATATATGAGGATAAATGTGGGGTATGTTTTTGTGTTACAGCTCGTCGTGAGAGGACAGCAGCATGGAGTGCCCTGTTTGCACCCACCCGTGGGATTTTGAGGAACGACGGCCGAAGGGACTGCCTTGCCTGCACAGTGTGTGCGATTCCTGTTTGTTGCATCTTCCCAATGATCTGTGCCCTCAGTGCCGCAAGGTAGGAGTGCACTCTAAATGTCTTACGAAGAAAGGCGCAAGCATAATACGAAGGTGGTTTTTCTTCGTATGACGAAGGTTTTTCTTCGTATCTTTCAATGAAAAAGGTTAAAAGATTCGGATTGCGAAGAAATATTGTTTCGTGTCATGCTTACGCTGAATTCACTATAACATACGAATAGCATAGGTCAAATTTCATTGTAAGATTAGAGTGTATTGCCCATGTACTTTCATGTCCATGAGTATCAAATATAACACAACATATAACAAAACTAAACATCTTATCAGTAGTGGGGAGTTTTATGATGTATCTAAATTTTAATTTGCCACATCTATCTTTTGTTCTTTTATTACTGCAACTTTTTTCATTCCCTTTCTTATCGGCCCAGAATTGTGCATCTGCAGATGTGTGTACTTATCTTCGTAATGTATACAATAAAACAACTTCCGGAAAGACTTGTCAAAGCATGGTCGAAGTGAGGTCGGGGTACAATAATCAGCGAATTTTCTATCTGGTCGGAAAAGAATAAGTTAAAGGGGAAATCCTCGGAAACCCTCGTCTTCGGTACCACAATCTTTAATGCCTTTCTAAACGCCTTTCTTAAAATCAGTTTCCGAACCTCCTGGGGCTATCAGGTGTTCCCAAGAAATTTCTGGTTCTCAAAGGACCATTTTAAAAAGAAATCGCCATTGCCCAGTTAAAATATCGGAATTTGCACTACTTTTTCGTCAATTTTGCAATATTTTTACCACAATTTTTTTTGCGATCAAACTGAGTTTGCGATTTCCACGATTTATCGACCCTGAATTCAGTCATTGCATTACAGTCATTGCATTTTGCAATAACCACCCCTTTAGTTCACGATTAAAGAGCCTTTTGTAGTAACTCTGATCATAATTTATTTTTTTGCGATATCATTTTATTAACACTAAACAGTGACACTTTCATTGCAAAATTTATCCATAACCATTTTATTGAAGACTTTTAGAATTAATCATGGCACAAAATTGTGATAAGCTGTTCATTGCTAAATATTGAATGGTTATTGCAGTTTGAATGACAGTGTTATTCTCATAAAATACGGTAAAGTTCACTCTGAACCATATCAATGTTCCTCCTGCAGCCATTCACGATGCCGGTACCGGATAACTTTTCCATGGTGGAATGTTTAGAAGCACTAAATGGAATTGCACTGAACAGCCGTGGATCCGAAGATCCCCAGAGGTAAGTCCGTACCCACTTTCAGTACTTAATAAGTATTTGGAGACTTTTGTCGTTCATGATTCCGTGCCTGAACGTCGTTTTCGTGCGTTTTGAATATTTACGAATTTTTTCCTGTCTGACTTCAACGTGAAAGACCCAGATTGTCGTCAGATGTGACCCTTAGGTCTGATTAAAATTCTCGAACAAATCCTGCCCTCAATACCTCAAAGTTGAGGATTTTTCTCGTATTACCTCTAATTTTTGACCTCTCTGCACGCTTGAAACCTTACGAAAAAGTTAACAGTTCCTAAATGACGAAGTATTCTTTCTGTAAACTTATCTATGCTCAAAATACTTTGTTTTAATAAGCTGCTCTTCTTTGTAACGCCCAAAATAGTTTGTAAGGTTTTCAGAGTGTGGACTGCGAGATAGTGTTTGGCCCCTTCTAATTTTCTCTCAATGCAAACCGATGTTGTAATTTCTTTTTCAGACTTCGAGGCTCCTGGTGGTGCATGGGCTGCCAGAGTCCCCCCACCGCGCTGTGCAGCGAGCACCACGACGTGAGGCGTCCCAAAGCGGCGCTGCAGGGAAGTCTGCAGGACTGGATGCAGCGAGCGAGCCGTGACCTTGGGGAGGCCATTCAAGAGCTGCCGGACGCCGCTGCCTTCAACACCCTGGAGCTGCTGCGTGCGCTGCCCGCCACCTGCACAATGACGCTCCGCCAGGACGGCGGCAAAGGCCACGCAGCGGAGTGGCGCGTCGACGGGAGCGCGGCCGAGGACTCCCTGTTGAAGGCCCTCATCGTTGGCCTGGCCGCCAGCGGACGGCTGGACCGGGTCAGTGCAGCGGGTACACTCTAAATGTAGGGTGTCCAGAAACTGGGCGCCGTTGTCGCCTGCCCCACTTTTTAGGGTGCCAAATGTCGCCCAGTTTCTGGGCACCTTTGTCGCCCAGTTTTGGGGTGGACTGATCATGCAGTAACCGGCCCTCTCCCATGGTAGAGCATGCACAGGTGTCTAGTTCCCAGGCGACTAAGGTGCCCACATTCTGGGCACCTTTGGCACCTTAGTCGTTGCTGAGCAATGGGTGAAGGCAGGTTCCTTAATGGTTTGTCCACCCCGAGACTAGGCGACAAAGGTGCCCAGAAACTGGGTGACATTTGGCACCCTAAAAAGTGGGGCAGGCGACAAAGGCGCCCAGTTTCTGGACACCTTACATTTAGAGTGTAGAAACTCAGTCGACAAAACATTCCTGCGAAGGTTTTTTTACTCTTTTGTGAGGATAAAAATAGCGTAAATAGACTTTTAGCGGGTCCAAAGTCAGGCCGCAATGGTCCCAAATCATTTCCTCAGACGTAATTTGACGACAAAAGAAGATTTTCGCTTTCGGTATACGTCGCTCCCCATAGCAGACAAACCCTAACCTAACCATGTTTGAACTCATTCTAATAGGGACTTTTCAAGCACTTTTTTTATTGGGTCCAGCTCATGGGTGTGTGAAAAGAACCCATTTAAATAGGTCTGACCCATCGCAAAATGTCCTAACACGGAGACTTTGCATTATTTCTTTGACAAAGTAGGTGACTCTAAGTTCGATGGACGTCACCCTCAGTAGGTGTGCACTGCAGCGGGTTTGCTTACCAAATTATGCACCACATACTTGCCTGCTCAGCAGGCGTTGCCTGAGCAAACCAAAAGAGCTGGATCTCATTGGGTCTCAACCTTCAATGCGCACAGTGGGCCAGAAGACCGGCGCTGGCGGCCAACACTCAAGACGCGTTTTGGGCTCCGGAGTCGCTAAATGGGACTCGAACCGAGCGTGTGACCCCACCAATGGATTGCTCTCCGAACGTGCGGCTCGAGTCCCATTTAGCGACTCTGGAGCCCAAAACGCGTCTAGAGTTTTGGCCACCTCCAACGGTCTTCTGGCCCACTGTGATGCGTCACGGCCCATTCCCGATGGGTCTAAACCCGTTCACTGAAAATCAAATAGTTATACATCTCACTCTCTGAGGGGTGAGCCATAACTGTCTCACCGGAAAAAGGGTGATACTGGAATGCACCACAGTAAAAATGGTCGTATCACCGTAAATGTATCACCACCATGTATCACCGAAAAATAGGTCGTACACGAATGTGTCACCGGAAAAAGGTTGTACACATATGTATCACCGAAAATGGATGGTACTTCCCCAGGAAAACAAGGGCCAATTTCGCTGATGTCTGACCTGCACTTATTGCGTTTTCTCGTGTCCCCAGGATCCCATGGGAGCACGGGCAAGGATGCCCCCAGCAGCTCAGCCGCAAGCGCCACCACCAGATGAAGGTCGCATTGTGCTGAATTTGTCTCTCTCTGCGACTGACCGATCTTGTCGTGTGGATGAAAAGGCAGAAACGCTGCAACAAGTGCGGGACCACGGGGTGAGTGCAGATAGCGTTATTTTTTTTTCCATCACTCCCGCGCACAAACCCTTACGTGTTCACACTACGTTTATGTAGAATTTTGTACGTCGTGATGCGATTTTAAACCTGCGTGACGTTTTGCTTAAAATTGCGCGGAAATTCGCATAAATTTATGCATTTTCACGCATAATAGTGTGCAAATTTTTGCCTAAAGGTGAGCTTTCTGCCACGTACTAGAATTAAAATGTCAGAATGCCGAAAACAATTAATACGCAAGGTTTGTCAGTGACTGAGTGAGGACACTTGAAGAAGCGCGCTCACCGCGGGTCCTCAGCCCCAGTTTCTTTCGTGTGTGCAGGTGCGGCGGATGACGGGAGTGGTAGGCCACAAAGACCCGGCGTGGGTCTTGGACGTGTTACGGAGTGCAGCCCCGTCGCTGCAGCAACTGCGGATCCTCAACCCCGTCAGAGACCACCTTCTCCTGGTGCATGCCATGCCGCGACTGGAGAAGCTGGAACTGCGCTGCACGAACCGTGCCCTGTTCACGGATCCACCCGTGCTGCCCGCCCTTTTCGAGCCGAGCACGGTGAGGTGGCTGCACGTGGGTGGGCTCCCTCGCGCCACCACGCTGAGTCTGCTGCGCGCGCACCACGCCTCACTCAAGGTCCTGTGGCTGGACGTGGGCCTGGAGCCTGCAGCGGAGTGGCCGTTCGGGTGCAGCGACCTGGTCGACTTCGTGCGCCAGTGTGGGCTTGACATTAGGGAACTCGTCATAGGCAGGGAATGGTTAGACCGTTACGGAATCAGACACGATCGCACGAAATGTCGAGCTCAATTGCAACTTTTGGAGCGCAGTCTGCCGGACTGCTTAGTGTCTTGCGACGATTGTGATATTCCTATCATCTAATGTAAGTGGAGACAGGATGGACTTCTGTCCGCACGTGGCTATGACGCGTTAGTCTTGGACTTGATGGAGGTTTTTGTTAAAATTTCTGAATAACTTTTCCTTTGTATTCAATTCATTCCTTAGTTTTTAATTCATATGCCGTATGTCCGAAAAGTGAATGTCTCAACAATTAATAAAATATTGTTTAAAAATCCATCCACGTGCTTGTGTATGTATCTGAACATTCCCCGTTCATCCGACTTCTTCCGTTTCGTTGGTCACTATTCTTACATTCGGTGTGGTTCTTTTCCATGCACTACGCGAGAAAATTATGATCCAGAAAGAGGAAGAAGGGAATAATTCGACTTATCTCCAAATTGAGTTTGTATCTTATAATCGTGCTTCAGGGTGGTTTGCATCGGGAGAAAATCCACATGAAAAATGGATATAGCTCAACTTCTACGGTCTAAATTTCATCGGAAAATGGAGTTAACTCAATTGAAGTCCACATGACTCCATTGGACAAAATGGCAAAAGGAGATAACTCAACATGTGTCTTTATGAATCTAATGTTAAAAGAATCAACTCAACTTAACCCCTCATCACAAGTTGGAGAAAAGAGGTAACTCCAAAAATGTACCACAGACCTCAGCTCCACTTGAATAGTCTCCAAATTCCACCTTGTTTGGGAGAAGTAAGTAAATATGGTTCCGTAGTCCATTCCAACGTAAAGAATTATATCACAGATTTTTTAAAACAATACACTGAAAATAGAAAGGTCAGACTTTTGACCCCTTAACGGTCTTACTGAAATGTACGACCGAAAATGGGCCATACTGAAATGTAAGACCGAAAACTGGTCATACTTCGATGTATGACCGAAAAACGCTCATACTTTATAGTGTATCACGGGTAGGCTGATATATCCCCAAGCTAAACAATAGCCAGTCTCGCTGATGTCTGACCTTTTTTTGGTCATACATTTAAGTAGGACCATTTTTCGGTCATACATTTGTGTATGACCGTTTTTTGGTCATACTTTCTGTATCACCGAAAATCGGTCAGATGTTTCACCCTTCGAGTTTCAGTGTAATCTCAAAATCGACCAAAAAAGGTTGGATCCGCCCTTTCTTGATGTATCAAAAACAGATCCGCCCTTCTACTTGGGGCTCCTACAGATCCGCCTTTCCATGCGGTCGCTCCACAGATACGCCTGCTCTGCTGGGATGTCGCCCGGTGAGTTGAGCTGCTTTTCTTTGGAGGAGTCAAACTGAAACGGTTGTAGAAGTTTTTATTCCCCGAGGAGGATAATAGGTCAACATTCCGTCTTCTAAAACTACCTATCTGCGGATACTTTAGTCTCCTAGTAACTTGTAAGACCTTCGTTCTCTCATTCCACTAATAAGAAAAAATACATGGAGATTAGCTTTGCCTCAGGGCAGATGTCCTCAACCATCCAGAAGCCACAGGCAGCGAAGTGCCACTATGCAACCCACTCTTCACTGAAGCACCAAGATACGGTTATCTCTGGTGACGTTTCTTATAGACAAACAGGCCGTTCACTTTTTGTACTTAACGCACTGTTCAGGAGTGCGGGTGTCAGCGTAACGCTGCGTTTTATGGAGAGATACGGGGAAGGGGGGGTCCTGCCACGCCACTCGCTTTTAATTCTAGTTTTCGTCATTGTCGGCATAGTTTTCGGCATTCGGCAAGGTCATTCGGCCAGACCCTTTGAGGCAAATGATGTTTGACTGCTGAACAGGAAAAGTGGTGACTCAGATCCGCTAAGCGAGGGTGGGGCACCTAGTGATACTTTTAGGACTTTACGCACAATCGTCGCATTTTTCAGCGGATGCCAAATATTCTGCATAGAAATCTTGAAATGAACCTGCGACCTAAGCTCTCAATTGAATATTTTAGAGGAATCACCTAATTATGAGTAAAATACGGCCGCGAAATGAACAGTAAAAACTCTAAGAAGAATCGCTTCGTAATACCAAGAAAATGAGGGCATTGTAACGAAGAAATATAAAGCAAAATCCCTCGTAATATTACGAAGCATGGATTCATGATACGAAGCAATTCTACAAAGACTTAATTTTTTTATGAGTTATCAAGCAAATGCTTTGTAGGCTTTAAGGAGTGTGACCACAGTCAGGGAGGGCACTTGAAACAAGGGCGCTTACCGCGGAAAAGATAATATCTCTCATTAAAAATCGTGGTAGCGTGGTTAAAAGTGAACATTTCAGTCGTTATTAGCACGCTCCTTTAAGAAGTGTTTGAGCATATGTAAGGCACTAACCATTTAGTTCGTAATACGAAGAAATAGTTCGTAAATTACGATGTATTTTCTTATTGTAAGCTTATGTATGCTCAAAGTACTCTCTTGCAACAAACTCTGAGTTTAGCGTCCATTGCTGCAATTTTTCATTGTACATGAAGTGCCATGAAGTGCCATCATTTTTCGGGCATTTTTTTTTCGGCATTTTCGGGACGCACCGCACGTGAGGTGCAATATGGCATATGGCATTGCATGTATGGTGCGATATCTCAGTGCGTTGCACTTACTTGCTCTGTTCCTTGCATCATAGTTGCTTTGTAAATTTTCATACTTAGCCTCATACAATTTTAAGCATGTGACCTAGTCGTACAAATTTGCATTCCGGAATCGCTAAAATTCGTGCGACATTGCTCATGAATTTGTTCGCAAAGCACGTATGCGCAAAATTGTGTGAGGCTACGTACAAAAATACGATTTCAAGAAATCCTAGGAGTCACGAAGTCAATTTGATTATTGTGTAAGAGTGTGGAGAAAGAAAAGAAGTGGTGTTGTGAAGTTGTGGCTCAGGGGACTACCAATGGCAGTGGTACCAATGTGGTCGATGTGCCATCCGTCGAAATTTAAACTTGACAATAAATAGAAATCAAAATGCTGGTAAATTCAAAAAATTCCAATGCTAATGTATTCCGCAGTGTTCTGACAATGGAACATCTTTGAAGTCCATCATGATTCATGAACATGTTCTTAGCAGAAAGAAGTCAGTAAATTAATTTTCTCGGGTTGGCAACTATTTTCTCGGCGTCTGCGCCCTTGCGAAAATCGCGAAGCTGAAAGCGCCAGCAGTCACGCATTAAAACTGCCCCTCCATTGTTGTGGACGTTGAATTGTTTGGCTTGTTTCAAAAGGCTATGGTTCTCTAGTCATGTTTTCTTCAATTCTGTGTAATAGTTCTCCCTTACAACGTATCAACACCACGACGGTTGGTTTGACAAACTTCATAAACTCGGGAGGGATGGTTTCGAAACGCGGGTGAGTCTTGTTCGAGGAACATGAGCACTGCAAGTCGCGAGGTGGAGCGAAGTGGTCCTAGTGCTAACTGAATCACAACAACAACACTGCGCATGTCCAAAAACACTCCAATCAAGAAGTATTATTGGATAGTTCTACCCGAAAAACTGCGTTCGAACCGGCACCAATTCTATTGTTGCATCTTGTCTACCTGCAGTCAAAGAAATTTTTCATTTCGAACGTTGCTTTTTCAGCTTTTGGAGTAAGCTGTACAGACCCAAAAAGAAGCTCCGCTATTGGTCCGCCCCGGCTTGGCTCCCCCCACTCCCTTTTTTTTCCTTTGACGAGTCGAGTTTTGCCATGGAAACGGCGATTTTGACAGCAAATTTCTCAAAATTGGCCACCAAATTTTTGACCAGATTTCAACATCAGAATCAGCGTTCAAAGTTCTACTAGTCTGCAAAATCTCTTTAAAATCGTATAGAAAACTTCCGAAATGCATAAAGGGCCACACAAATCAAATCTCGAGCCGGCTGAGTCCTGGGTATACTATAAGGCTACTTCGTGCCTAAAAATGGTACGAAGGAATTTAGTGGACACGCGTTGCTCGCGATGGGCCAGGGCCCTGTCTCTTGAGTTTATCAGTGCCCCTCGGTCCGCATCGGCCGATTCCTTGCACAAGAGCGCTGCTTACATTGACTCAGGACCTCACGACATGAAGTTGTTCTTGCTCTTGGCCGCTGCCTTGGCTGCGATAGTAGCTGTGCAGGTGAGTTAGAAGCCCTGCCTGGGTGGTGGATGAGTACACCGCTAATCCAAGTGTAGAACAAGCATTACAGCGTCTGTGCCTGAAGCATAACCTTTTATAACTTTACAAGTGATGGCCAAGTTTCGTTTTTCGTACTCAGAAGAGTAGCATAAATTGTTATCATGAATAGTCTGGACGTCGTCCTCTGGTAAAACAAGAGCATAAAAACTACGTCCTTCATGAGTCTTAAAATTTCGTTTACACCCATTCACACGCCTGCCTCCCTAGGGCACAAAAACATTCGAGAGGCGTTCATCGTTAACGCTCGGCAAGAGCGTAATTTTCCCTCGATATTGTTTCACCGGTGTTCCCAATTTACAAGAATGTTTAAATTTTGTATTTTTTGCCAGTAAACGCTTAACGCAGATTCTGACGTAAAGCTTGCGCTCCTCAATCAAAATTACCCACTAAGGCTCACATTACTAAACTGAAGTCTGCAAGAGTGTTGTATTGCGAAACTTTCTTTTATATTGTAAAAAAACGAAACACGGTGCAGTTTTATTACCAAACAATTCTTTAGTAATACATAGCTGTCTGATCCAGAAAACTTTTCTTCTATTACAAGACATTTCGAAACGTAGTGCTAAAACGTGAAAGAGCCCACCAAAAATCATCGAGACACAATTCTTTTATAATACGAAGAAAAGTTTTGTCTACCGAACAAAAATGAGTTATACTAGGGAAAAGTTTACAACACAACTGCACCTGGTTTCTTGTAAAACAAAAGAAATCTTCTTAATACAAAAGTCATTCTTAGTACAAACTTTTGTCTACTTTTGTCCGCAGGCAGTACCACACGTAGAGGATTACAATGGCCGATCCAACAACGACCAGTCTTTGACTGCCGTTTCAGGTACAGTCCGGGTAGACCGTGAAAACAGACAAGAACCCTGACACTGCAAATACAAGTGGGACAGGCATGCACTAGATAACGTCGTGAGACAAACTGTCCCCCGTTTGTAAGCGTGACTTCAACCGTGTCCAACGTAGTGCATGTCTATTGCCTATCCCACGCTTGCACTGAGAATGAAAAAGTCATGATCAATACCCAATTTTGGGCGAGGTTTACTTTCTCACCCAAATTTGGGCGAAGAATGTTTCCTCGTCCGATCTGGGCGAGGAAAGCTTCCTCCCCCAATTTTGGGTGAGGAAGGGTGTATCAGCTCCCTATATAGCTCCATAGTATTATGACCCAAATTTCGGTGAGGAAACTTTCCTCACCCAAATTCGGGCGAGGAAAATTTCCTCACCCAAATTTCGGCAATAAAAAATTTCTCATCCAAAAGTGTAGTCATGATCATGACTCTTTCATTCTCAGTGTGCATTTGCAATTAGGATAAACAAAAATACGCGAGGGAACTAAAAGAAGCCGTTGTTTTTTTTTGTTTCAGGCCCGTTGGCCGGCGTGGGCTGTTCCATCAGGGTGTTGGGTCGCGGGGCTGCGTTGGTGGCCGAGTACACTGTCAAGTGCTTCGTGACCTCCGTTCCGTCGGGCCCTCTGTTCTTCCTCTTCTTCCCGTTCTGCGTCGCCTCCAGCGTCCTTGACATCATTAGCATCACGTCTGAGGACCTGCAGAAGTGCGCGACGAGTCTTCTGTTTTAAGACAAAGCAGCCGGAGAAGTTCAGGATACTGAATAAACAAGTCTCAATTCTGATCTACTTAGGAAAAATTGTTTTGGGTCCATATTATGTTGAAACAGGGAACTTGAAGTTGCAACAAAAACTGTGCCCCCTGTCGTTCATACTCTTCAAAGCTTACGAAGGATTTTTGCTTCATAACAACAAAGAAAATGAAGGCATTGTAGAATTGCTTCGTATCATGAAGAAATGCTTCGTATTTTGAAGGATTCTGCTTCATAATACGAAGCATTTCTTCGTAGGTTTTATAATGTCTTAATTTTCTTCGTATTACGAAGCGATTCTTCGTTGAGTTTTCACTGTGCCACGAATGTGATACGTTAGAGTTCATTAGAACGTTAATATTGTTGCCTTTGTGTGCACGCTTAAAACCTTACGAAATATTCTGAGCTAGAAACTAATTTACTTTGTTAAACGAAGAAATAGTTCGTAAATCACGAGGTACGTTGATTGTAAGATTGGGTATGCTCAAAATACTTTGTTTTAACAAGCTGCTTTTATTTGAAAGGCCTAAAATAGTTGGTAAGATTCTCTCAGTGTGCCGTTGGAATGTTGATCTGCGTTCAAACGATTGTGACACTAAACGCGGCCGTGTTACGTTCCAGCGAATGTGACATCACTGCAAGTGCAAAGGCGATACTAAAGTACATTTTTTGGCGATACAATTAAGTATTGCCAATAAACGGCCTTACGGAAAAGTAATGCCTTCGGAACGGCGATACACAGAAGTATCGCCAAAATTTGGCGATACTTTTGGGTAGTGCCAAAACTACGGCATTAAACCAAGGTCTTGTGCCCTTGATTTGTTCGACGTTTATTGCCAAATCGTGGCAATACTCCAAAGTATCGCCAAATTTTGGCGATACTTTTGTGTATCGCCGTTTTGAAGGCAATACTTTTCCGTAATGCCGTTTATTGGCAATACTCAATTGTATCGCCAAAATAGGTACTAAAAGTATTGCCTTTTGGATTTATACTGATCGTCTTCAAACGAACGTGGAATTCTGTACTTCAATTTTTAGTGAGTGTGACGTCACCGAGGGGGAAATCACTCGCGTAATAGTCGGGTCATCGATTCCTTGTATTACGCGTAATAGTAATAGCGTAATAGCCAAAATTTTCCGTTTCAAGGGTCTGATTTTAGCTTATATCATTTGGAAACGTAATAAGACTTATGTGATAGCGTAATAGAACGTAATAGGAAGTAGTCGGGTCATAATTGATCCAGGAAGCGGAAGAAGGCGATAAGTCCACTTTGGCCATTTATCAGGAGAAAGAAAAACTTGTAAGCAGGGAAAACTAAAACAAACCAAATGAATGCTGTAGATGATAACAAGTTCAAAAAGCAAGAGCTAAATTTTGAGAAAAACATCAAAAGTGTCCGATCACTCCGTAGAGGGTTTCTGTGACTTATCACTTTCCGTTGAAATGGAAAACAGAGACATCTCGACTTGTATTTCCTAAACGGAGTGGAATTTGGAGACAAGTCAAGTGGAACTTTAGTCAGCAGAAAGTGCTTGTTACTCTGGTGTATTTTTTGGACTTAGCTCCTTTTTCCATTTCAGTTTTTAAAATGAAGGGAGCTTAAGTTGACTTGATTCTTTTTACACTAGATTCATTAAAATACACGTTGAGTTATCTCCTATTGGAAATATTTTAAACGGAGTCATGTGGAGTTCGGTTGAGTCGTCTCCATTTTCTGCTAAATTTAGAGCGTAAAAGGGGTCAAGTTGAGTTATATCCTTTTCCAATGTGGATTTTCTCCTTAACTGCAAGGAATTAAGTTAAATAATTTGGTGTAATGATGTTAACCATTCTAAGGCACAATAATAAAATTAGAACTCAATTTGGAGATAAGTCAAGTTCTTCCCTTCTTCCGCTTCCTGGATCAATTTCTGAGAGTGATTTCCCCTTTTGGACGTCACATTCTTTGAAGAGCAGTGAAGGCGCTCCGACTGCTTGAAACCTCGTGCTCTATTTGTGTGGCATTCGCACACAACAGCGTGTGTACCGTGGGATTCTCTATGACTATACGTTGTTCTGTCAGATGATCACTCATTGATCGTCGGGGACTTTTCGTAACGGCAATGCAACCTCACACTAGTGTTCCGCATTGGGCGGGTCGGTCGGGTTCTGTGAAAATTCGACCGCAGCGCTGCACCGCGACGTGTCATCGAAACTCAAAAACCGAAGTGGTTCCGAAGTGCCGCCGAAAGACACGGCTTGGACATCGGCTGGCTCGGAAGCAGCCCCTCCTCGCCCCTCGCCCCTTGCTCCGTGCTGCATGTGACACAAACCGTCCCGACAGGTGCTGCCCTCTAGTCGGCAAAAGTAGCCAAAACGATCGGGTTGACGGCCGCCCGATGCCGTCCGAGCCGCTTGCTCATCGGGCGGGCCGGATCGGGCCGAAGGCTGCCAGCGCGATCGGGCGGTGCAAAATCGTACGACCCGCCCGATTCGGAACACTACCTCACACTCAGCAGGTTACTGACTTTTTGCTCATTTTGTCAGTACTTATGCAAGTAATTTGTGCAACCATAACACTTTCTTACTGTTGCGTTTTTAAAGAACTACTTTGGAAATACATATTAAATAATATATTGAGTTTAATTTTGTACCTAGTTTCACGAAGGAAATGAGTCCCACTTTGAAGAAATAGAGTATTATTGTTGCTTATGCGAATACGTAATTAAAAACAAAGTCAGCAACGTGCTGAGAGTTAGAGCATGATGTAGCAAGGGTGAAGCATTCCAAACAGTTTGGAACACAATCCGGATCTTTGGACTAAATATCCGCGATTGAACTAAAAATGACGAGGACGAACGCGTAGTATGGTGGTGATTTTTACAAGGGCATTTATTGTCACCAAGCACGCTTTGCCAACAAGTGCTCTCGTCAGGACAGCAACTATGATAGAATTACTACCGGAAAAGAGGCCAATCAAGACGAGGCACGGGGACGTCGAAGAGGGAGGGGAACAGAAACGATGCGCCGTTCAAACTTGATAATCTCATTTAATTGCAGTTCTTATCAACAATTCGACTTTCGGCACGAAATTAATCTGAGATGGCAAAAATAACATACAGTATCTATACCTGTTTTTCGAAAGTGAAGGTGATTGAACACATTCTCCAACAAGACATTGCAATAGCAAAAAGGAAACAAAACATAACTTAGGTCAAACTAGATCATACATAGAACATGCGACACTGACGTCGATTGATTGAAAGAAAAAACAAAACCAAAAACTTTCTGGCCAAAATACGGCGAGACTGTGTGCCTCACCCCAAGAGAGGCAGGAATTCAAAGAGGTCCTGCAAATTAATGCAGTGCTGAGGAGCAGAAACATAAGAATGTCCTTAACATAGCATGATTGAAAACATATACGGCTAGCAAGTTCCAATTAACGGGAAGAGAGCAAACGAGCATGCAGTTGCAGTCTTCAGAGCGTTGGTGATACGGTCTTTCCGTCAAATCCGCAGTCCTACGTTTGGGGTGCAGGCCCACGGCAAAACTTCCTGTGTCGGTGCTGCGATGACCGGAACTTGAACTTCTCGCCGCAGCTCTTACACGGGTAGCGCTTCTCCCCGGAATGCAGGGCCATGTGCTGCCTGAGGCTGTCCTTGGCTCGGAACTTCTTGGAGCACACCGCGCACTGGAACGGCTTTTCGCCGGTGTGGATGAACTGGTGCATCCGCAGGGTCCAATACTCCGCGAAGCTCTTGCCGCACTCGTCACACTGGAAGGGCCGTTTGGCGTTGTGCTGCCGCAAGTGACCTGCGAGGTCCCTGGGGCTGCCGAACCTTATGTCGCACTTGGAGCAGCGCAGATCTCTCTCCTCGTCCACCAAAGCCATCGTCATCTGCAGCCTGTTGGCCAGGGTGGTTCGGCTCCCCGGCGGTGACTTGGGGGATCGACGCCTCCCCCGTTTCGATGGCCCGGCGGTCTGATCGGGCATTGCCGGACTCAGGGACTGCACGCGCGATTTGGGACCAGGCTTCCTCCGAGGCGCTTCCACTGTAGAGGCCACGGCAGTCGAGGATGGTTGACGAGTGACCGACTCCCGGGCGTCCTGCTCCGGTGGTGACTTGGATTCAGTGAGGGCCGGGGGTTGCGATGGGACTGGAGCAGTAGAGTCCAAAGAGGGACCTCGGCGAGCTGGTGGCTTCGGAACATCTGGGAGAGTTGACGTAGAGATCTCTCGAGGGCTTCGCGAATTGGAAACGTCCCCAGAAGCAATGGAGTCGGGGCTGGACTGTAGTTCGCGGCGTGAAGACACAGCAGAGGCCCCGCACGGCAGCTGCCTTCGCAGGGGCTCCTCTTCTACGCTGCCAACCGACTCCGGCGGATTCGAGGCGGCCTGGGACGCAGCGATGGCCGTGTCCGGTGGGACGCTGCCGGCACTGCCGGAAAAAAAAAAATCACAATTAAGGCCGATGGTTGTAAATGGTTGAGACAGGGAAGGGAGCCACCCTCCCTTTCCGCAGGGCTACACAACAAACGTACTCGCACTGCAAGTCCAAGTGTGGGACAGGCACGCACTAGATAACGTGGGACAAACCGTGTCCCACGTTCGTAAGCGTGGGACAAATCCGTGTGCCACGCTTGCAAAGCGGAAAAGACTTGGAAAGACATAGGTGGTCTAACAAAAAATCGGCTCCTGAGAAAACCATCTATGGTCCGCCGGGGCTCTTGGAAAGCATCCTACCTCGCCCGGGCGCTGGGAGACTATCTACTCCTACACAAATCCTGTCAAGTTAAGAAAGTCTCCCTCCCCGTCCCAGCATGTTTTGCCTAACTTACAGGTGACTATCAAGGTGCCTCATCCCCCCCCTTTTTCTCTTTGTTTACGTGCCTGATTCTCTCAGTGCTAATCAGAAGGCACTGAAGTGAGTCCCCTCGCCCTATCTGCCCTCTGCATGCATTGTTAGTCCCACGCACTCTAAAAACCTTACAAAGCATTTTGAGCATACATATAACAAACTAAAATACTTTGTTATACAAGGAAATAGTTCGTAAATTACGAAGTATTTTCTTTGTGAGCTTATGTACGCTCAAAATACTTTGTTATACAAACTACTTTTCATTGAAAGGCCCAAAATAGTTTGTAAGGTTTTCTCAGTGTGAAGTGACAGTTTTTAGTTAGGCAAAATTTGAGCCAATCATATACTTAATTACGATATACCTTTCAGTGCATAAGCTTTGCACAAAATTGAGCATGCGTTTTGATGAGCACGAATTTTATGCTCATCGACGTACACTTTCGTGCTCAGTCGCATACTAAGTTTAGGGCGAAGCTTGTGCTCTGAAAAGTGCATCGTCAGTGTGAACCGAAAACTAAGCTGCCAAACTGTATTCCTTGCCTGGACGCTGACGCGACTCCTGTTCCCGGCAACGCCTGCTTCGTGGCTGATCCCGCGGCCGGAACGGCAGACCCTTGAGAACCAGACTTGGGGGCGGACTCCCCGGCAGGGCAGGCAGGTTTCGGCGTCGTCCTGGATGTAACGGCCAGGCGCGTAATTAGGGGGGGGGCGGGGGGGGCGACCGCCCCCCCCTTTGGCCCCCGAAGGGGGCCAAAAGTACTGCCCTTACTGGGTCCGATTGGCCCAAGAAATAGCAGTTAGTCAGGAATCGTCCCTTAGCCTGGCCCGAACAACTCGCATTTTGGACACACTTAGGCATTGGCTTCTAGCTCGCTTCGCTCGCTGGAGGTAACTTGCTTCTGAGTTCTCTCCGCTGGCAAATAAACCGGATTGAGGTACCTTATGACTGATATATGTAATGCCTTCTTAGATCCTTAACCATCTTAGGCCGGGAAGAAAATTTGGGTGCAACGTATTTTCAACCATTTGTTTGTCTGGCCAACAGAAAATATGTACCTGGAAATGTTTAAAATCTCCTGGAATCCTAGGACTAAGACCCCAAGTTATAATATTTCCCGCTCAACAAGGCTATAGCTTTTAGCTCGCTTCGCTCGCAACAGGGAGCCTCTTCTAAATTTCGGCTCCGTGGCAAGTGGAGGGAAGCAAGTGTGCCAGCCCTTCTAGACGAAAAAGTCTTCCCCATTGTAGGACTCGGAAACAACGTTTCAGACAGTTAAGCATTTATAGCTTTTGGCTCGCTTCGCTCGCTGAGAGCTATCTAATTCTAAATTTTCGCTATGAGTCCAAACAAATGTAGATTAAAGTGAATCCTCTTCCAACTTTGTAACAACCCCTCAATTTTCTGTAACGTTGTTTTGAATTTAGCCCCCCCTCCCCAAACCACGTCCCTAAAAAATTACCTATCAGACACAGGCTCCTTGAAGGTAGGCAACTTTTCGAACATTCGCCCCCCCCTTTCGACCCGCCTAATTACGCCCCTGGTAACGGCACTGGCGGCAGGAAACCAAAGCAATTAGACGCTAGCTTCGAGCGAAAATGAACCCGAGAAGGAAATTCTGATGTGAAATCTTTTTCATTGGCTTTAACACTCTTGCATAGAAAAGTGCTTCACCGTGCTGTGAATTACCTTGAGAGACGGGAGAGAAAGGCACCCTTCTCTCAAGGTATTCCTGGCTCAGCTGCCATATTTCAAAGCGTTCAAAGAAAAAGGCCAAGTACGCTAGTTGCGAAGAAAGAAGCTGGCATCATTGAGAAGTAGTGGTTTGACACGTTGCAAATAATTTTGTTTGCAAGATGCAGAACAATACTCCGCAATGCAAACAAAATAGTTCGCTAGAGAGTTTGAAATGCAATGCCGGTAAATACTTCGCAAGAATTTTCTGACTTGAGAGGTATTATGGGCTATTATGGTATTCATGGGATTAAAGAGGAGTGATAACTATGAAAAGTTAATCTATTGCACTCCATAAATATTGATGTGGAGCTTAATACCAGAAAAATTTCAGTGGGTCTGTACAATCTCATCAAAATCTGTCAGATCATCGACCACCCGTAACAAAAATTAACTCAAAACTTGAATTAGTAAAAAAAATCCACATGTCGAAATTTCTGTGCGACATTTTGATGTTCACTGTTCGTTACACTCTTTAAGACTAAGTTATTTAACTTCGAGAGGTGAATTACTCAGAGTTCTGGTGGACACATGAGTACATGAGAGAGTACACCTTAGAAAACTCATAAATTTCACATTTTAAAACGCTTAAAGCCTTTATTTGAAGTTTCAGAAATACCCAACACCAAATCTTACTTAATACTAGCAAATTAAGCTTAATTTTAACTTGTGAGTATACTGAGTACGGACCAACTTGTACACATGAGTACACAAGTGATTCACCCCTCGTTTAACTTTCGGTTAATTATACGAACATAACAAATCGTGAGTTAAGATAGGTCGCGGACGAGGCCAAACAACGTGATCAAAATTTGTACACCGTTATTCCAAATTCACGTTATTTCGAAGGTTATTTCAACGTTATTCCAACGTTAGTTCAAGGGAAATGTACACAAAAATTCAAGTAGTTTGCCCCTTGGTTGCGGATGCTTATGCCTGGCGTGACATCACATGCGAAACATCACTTACCTCGGCACTCGTAAGGCTCGGGGCTTCAGCACACTCCGCGTCGCTCCTGAGAACCGGGCTGGAACGGCAGAGCCTCGGGAAGCAGGCTTCAGGGCGGAACCATCGGCAGAGATGGCAGTGTTGAGTGTCGTTCTGGGAGCAACGGCACTGGCAGCGCTGGTGGCAGGGAACCAGAAGCGATTAAAAGGCAGGGTCAAAATCAAATAAAACACCTGGTGAAACTTGCAAGTAGGCCTCCGAAAAGTTCCCCAAATTAGAGGCTTTGTCCATTCGTCAAGCCAAATGAGACCTCAAATGAAATTCAACCAAAAATATTTTTCTTCGCTACGAAAGCTTGCATCACTTGCAGCATGCATGCAAGAACACTCTACCTGGAGCCAACCTCGCATGTTCACTACAACCTGGAGCATGCTTGTCAAGTGCACGCCAGGTGGCGTGTACCTGCAGTGCGTTAGCGAAAAATCTTCAGGAGTTCCACTGAGATTTTCATTTTAGTCGAAATAACTGCTGGTCGAGGGATTGCTCAAAGTCAAGATATCACATCTCGAGTCCTTTTCCAACCTACAGTACTTTTATTCCTCAACTTACCCCTATCCAAAATTACATAACAAAATTCCTATGGTTATGAGTCAACGTTGCTCAGGGAACTGCAGAGCACCCTGAAAACCTTACATACTATTTTAGGCCCTACAAAGAAAATACTTCGCAATTTACAAGTTAATTCTTCATAAAAGAAAGTAAATTAGATTGTACTATGTATGCTGAAAATACTTCATAAGGTTTTAAGCGTGAGGGTAAAAGGTTGACGCTCATAAATTTAGTCTACCTGAAGGATAACTGGTATTATCGTCAGCTTGACAGGCAAGTACTCGCTAATTTTGTAGCCTTTCTGAAAATCTTACGAACTATTTTGGGTCTAACAAAGGAAAGTAGCTTGTTACAACAAATTATTTTGAGCATGCATAAGCTTACAAAGAATATACTTTGCAATTTGCGAACTATTTCTTTGAATAACAAACTAAACAGTTTGCACCTTACATATCAAACGTTAAGTTTTAAGCGTGCATCCTGCCCCAGACTATGCAGCCTTAAAACCTTGCAAAGTAGTTAAAGCATATATATGAGGGAAGGTACTATCTAATTTACCTTGAGATATGAAGAACTAATTCCAAAATTAAGAAGTATCTTCTTTGTAGCCAAAATTTGCTCAAAATACTTTTAAATCGTGGGAAAGGCTTTGAGCCTGTGACAAAGGCGCATCAGTGGGTACAGGCCATGCATGTGAACTCTTAAATTACAGCATGCCTGCCAAGGTGACAGCGTCAACCATGAAATATCAACAATGCATGATCTTAAGTTTGCAGAGCGAATGACACGCGCTTAAAACCTTACGAAATTTTGAGCATACATTATACCAACTAAGAGATTTTGTTATACAAAGAAAAATTTCGTAATTTACGAAGTAGTAAGCATATGTATGCTGAAAATACTTTGTTATGCTTTGTAAGTGCTTTTCTTTGAAAGGCCTAAATTAGTTTGTGAGGTTTTCTCAGTGCACCTCCCACTTACCTGGGCTTAGTAGACGGCCTCTGCGCCGGCACCGGATCGCTGTCGTCGAAGCAGCCCTTGAAGACGTCCCCGTCAGAGGCCAGCAGGATGCGGTCGGCCCACGCCGACACACTAACGGGGTCCTGCGGGATGGACACATCCAGCGCGCACGCGTTGAACAGGTCCGGGATCATCAAGGCCACTGCTGCTGCGTCTTCGTCGTAGGACTTCGTTGGGTCAGTCAGTGGTGCAGCGGGAGCCGACAGTGGTGCAGCACTGGTGAAACAAAGGCATTTAAATCATGCCCTTTAAGGGCGTAAACGATTTACGCCCCTGGAGCGGCGTAAATCGTTAATGCCTTTTGGAAGGGCATTAAGATTTTGCTTAAATTTCCTAGACCATTTATACGCTCTTTCCGGGAGCATAAAACAACTTATGCCCTTTCAAGGGCGTAAAAGAGTATTTATGCCCTTTCAAGGGCGTAAAAGAGTATGCCCTTTCAAGGGCGTAAAAGAGTATTTATGCCCTTGTTTTACCAGTGAGGCTGTAGAGTAGCGCGGACGGACAGTGGTGCAGCAGGGGCAGGCTGTGGTGTAGCGCGGGCGGACAGTGGCGCAGCAGGCGCACGCAGTGGAGGAGCAGGGGCACGCAGGCACGCGAACTGAGAGGCCGCAGGGAGCCTGGGCACGACGGGCACACGGCGCAGACCAACTCCGGAGGCAGCAGGCCGACGGGAGCACTCTGAAAACACGGCGAGAAGCACGGTTTGACAAGAATGCACTCTCATCCGAGGAACGGGACATCAAGTTGAAACGAACGTGACAAAATGTCACGTTCGTTTGGGCATTGTGTCTCATTCGTTTGTGAATCAGCCAAAAATTAGCTTGTTCACATTCAAACGAATGTGACACAACGCTCAAACGAACGTGGCACAATGCTCAAACGTGATGTCACGTCTCTGGAACGAGAGTGTGTAGTCCCACATTCAACTAAGCTGAGAAAACGAACGCGAACATTACCGCACTCACTCTCATCCTTTGCAGGCATTTTGATAGGTGGCCACTGACGTTTGTGGACTGACAAGATTACGTTTGAAAGCAAGAAGCGACAAGTTACAAATCGTAACGTTATTTTTGGGAATGAATTTTGTCTGATAACTCTAATAATGAACCCTGAAATCAGTACGTTACAGCTGAAATAATCGGCACGAGTCTCGAACCCCCTTCTGATTTACAGTAATAATTCGTGAAAGCAAGGACAGAATGATTGTTTTGGTATTTAAGATAAATTTACTTCGTAAATTACTACGTAGTTTGCACAGCTTTTGCACAGAATTGTGCGTGCGCGTGAAACGCAAAACTCGGAAGCAACATTATTGTGAATGAAAATTTTTGTTATCACTTCATGACAATTTCAAGACTATTTTCCTTTCAGGGATGTTACCAAACCAGTTGATGAAAGGTGTGTCACGCCCATGCAAGAAGGACAGGAGCTTGTTAAAATTGGCATCAATCATTGATGAGACTGTCTTCATTTTCAAATGATGAAAATAATGTCAAAGAGTTTGTCACGAAGTGACAGCGAATTTTCACATGGAACGCACAGGTTCGTGCTTAGTTACGGATAAATTCGGGCAATTCGAAACGCATGCACAATTTTGTGCAAGCTTATAAACAAAAAAAAAAACTGCAAAGTGTAGATGACAGCTCCTACACTAAATGCATGGGCGTTGTCAACTATTTCATCATATGTTTTGAGGACGTCCTTGTAAGGAGAGTTAGCTTTCAAATTGTCATCAAACGACAATCAAAATTTTCACAGAGCAATGGAGTCGCTAAAGAAGCGAATTGGCGCATCACCGTTGGATTCGGAATGTCACGGTTGAAAAGCTTTAAGGAAAGTTGGTTGCAACTGAATGCGTGGCAGGATCAAGGGGTGAATCACAAGTGTACTCATTGTACTCACAAGTTTGAAAAGGGCGAAATTCACTAGTTTTTCGACCGATTTGGCGTTAAGTGCCGTTTAAAACGCTACCTAATGCCTTAAAATGTTTACAAATGTGAAATTTATGAGTAAATCAAGGTGTACTCACCCGTACTCATGGACTCATGTGTACACCAGAACGCCGAGTGATTCACCCCTCGGGCAGGATAGGTACTTACTTACCTCTTGGTGCGACTTTCCCGTCCTTCCGAAGGCCACATTTCTTGCACCTTTTCTTTTGGACTGCACCTGGGAACAAAGCAACACACCAGCATGAAAAATTATTGACCTGGACCAGGTTGACCAGCGTGGCACTGAGGAGTTGCCTTTATGCCCCCCTCATGTACTGTATAAAATAACATGCACATCCTCCAAACCTTGCTCAACTACGAAAGCTTCACTACTGTCACCATGCAGACATGCACACAAATAGAGGAAAGTGTGTGCAAATACATCACACCATCACAACACAGCAACGAAAATCACAAACTGCAACAGCTGTCAGCCGTGAAACAAAGTAAAGGATACATCATGGTCTGTAGATTTAAATGCAGCACTGCTCCTTCGAGGCATCATCATCATTGCTGTTTATAGTTCTCGGCAGACCCATGGCTTCCGAGTAAGCAGCCACGACGCATTCTCTACAACAAAAATAAACAAACAAATATCAGGCAATACAGTAGAAACATAACAGTTTCAGTGGAAATGTTGAATCGGTGACCATAAGGTGTTAGTGAAAAAACGTGAGCTGCGCTCGGGGTACACGGAGCGAACCTGCAAGCAGAGACCAAGTTTAAACTCTGGGAATAAGCAATGCTTAATGAGTGCTGGCGGAAACTAGTTTGCACTGCACGCGCTCTCATTTTTGGGACCAGATGATCGCACGTTGAAACGAATGCGACAGAATGTCACGTCCGTTTGAGCATTGTGTGACATTCGTATGTGAGACAGCTGATTTGTGGCTGATTCACATCAAAACGAACAAGACACAAGACTCAAAGGAAACTGACATTTCGTCACATTTGATTTAACGAGATGTGCACGAGCACTTTCTGTGCACTGTTTACTGAGGTACCACATGGCTCAGAGAAATTCCCTAGGCCCACAGTGATTATCCTAATACAGCGTCATACATATTAGAATAAGAATTTGGTCATGTTGGCTTGACTGTTTAACATTTTGACCAGTTCCAACGACAGTGAAATCCTGGATAAACGGCCGTAACACGTTGTGTAGAGAATGTGACGTCGCGTCGAACAGACGCGAAAAACTTCACATTCTAATGAATACAACGTCACATTCGTTGAATGACACTTGTCGGAAGAATAGAACAGTGGAACGACGATTGCACGTAACACATATGCGACACTATTGATTTGAAGATTAAAGACTCTTTAGATTTGGATTTGAGTCGCGCGCTGGATGTCGCTTTTCTCACGATTTGGACCCAACGAATGCGACTGGGGACCCGGAAATGAGACCCGACAACCAACCATTAGTGTCCCGGTGGCGCCATGAGAGATCGGAAGATCACACTAAACTCCTGCGTACTTTTAAGAGCATAAGCTCTGCACGAAATTGACCATGCGTTTCGATATGCACGAATTTCATAAACAACACCGCACACTTGCGTGCTTAATTACGGACAAATTCGTGCTTTTCAAAACGCATATTCAATTTTGAGCGAAGCCTACGCACGACAAAAGGAAACTAAGTAATTAAGTGTGTTAGAACACCACTGAATCCTGAAAAGAAGAAAAGAAATAAGCCTTAAGAGCAGCTTCTGCGCATGCGCACAGGGTCAAGACTGCGCATGCGTAGCAGCAGTTCATGAGGCTTACTGTAGTTCTCACTTCACAAGATCCAGTGAAGTCCCCTTCAGAAAACTAACCGAACGGCAGCAGTTTCCGGTTCCTGAAGCGCAAAAGTTCATGCGAGGTGTCCGAAACCATAATTACAAGGTCGGCGGAATCACTAGTAGGACCGGAAGTGAAGTCCAGGTTCCTATGAAGAGCGAGTTGGCCGTTCAAACACTGATGAAAACTGAGGACGCGTCAAGACTGTACGCACTCCTTGAAGCCTGCAACTTCACTTCAAGGCAGTAGGGTACTCAACTGAATCTTGTGACGGAAGAAGAAAATCAAAAGTAAACCCTACAAAGAGCTTCTGCGCATTCGCAGCAGGTGGTGGGGAAGGTCTGCGCATGCTCCAAAGCGGTACCTTAAAGATCTACTTTTGATCTTTTTGTTCCGTCACAAGATTCATTGAAGTGACCTTACCACAAGACGCACAAGTGTAGGTTCCTAAGTTTCCGAGGTTGATGGATGGGGAAATACAGACAAGGCTTGAACCCGAGCCTGAACCGGAAGCACCCAATTCCACGTGCTTCTTGGAATGCTATAGTTCGCTATCGTGTTGTAGAACTGGAATTACATGCAAATACTTGAATTGTTTGACATTGAGGCCGTTTTGACTCGAAATAGACCCTTTCCGTCGTCGCAAAAACTAGAACAAAAGAAACCGAAAGTCCAGGAACATCCTGGCTATTAGATGTGATCCGCACATGGTGACGTCCAGGAGCTTCCGGCCAAGGAAGCGGCTCCTTGCTTCCGGTTCAAACCATCGCTCCAATAGGGTACTGAGGAGGACAACCAGACCGGAAGTCAGCAATAGAACGGGAGAAACAAAAGAGCGTCGCGAGGCCGTGCTGAGCGGTGGTGGGGGCAGCATGCGTGCGCCGCCTTCACCCCCACTCCGTCGATTTCGACCCCCTCCACCGCTGAGCACAGCCGCGCGACGCTCTTTTGTTTCTTCCGTTCTGCCACTGACTTCCGGTCTAGGCTTCCTCCGAAGTGTCTTATGCTCTATAAGCGGCGATGGCTAGATTCACCGGAAGTTTACTGAAAACCGGCTCGGTCGCATTTGTTGGTTGAACCCGTCGACCCTTTCAGTCGTCGCCAGGTGAAGAACAAAAGTAAACGAAAATCCAAGAACTACTGGGAACGAACCCACTGGTTCCTCACCATTTCATTACGCTTGTTCTTCACTCGGCGACGACAGGAAGAGGCTACGAAATACATTAGGTGGGTACGCCAGGCAGTGGCTGTCGTATCAGGCTTCGCGATGGTGCGCCAGTTCCGACACGCCTCCCGACCCCCTGTTGCAGCGAAACGTTTCCGCAAAATTTCTCAGGTCAACACTACTTTCACCCTTATGTACGGCTTGCTCTTCTGGAATGTGTTTTCAATGGCTTAACGATAGAGAAGCCCGTTTCTCCGGTGGTGTTGAAGAGTTGTTCACTGTATGTCAGTGTGTCAGCACAACTCCTAAACGGCACAGCCGATGACGAATGTTTGAATGCTAAGACTGACTATGCACCCAAGAAGCCTGCAGGACAACGCCGCAGGTTTACGCGGTATCGCCAAGCCTGGTACGACAACACGGTCTGGCATACACCTGCCCCGTGATAGACTAATCTAGTCGTCGCCGACTGAAGAACAGGAATCACAAAAGCGGAAATGGCGTCGGCGACTTACCCTCACTCACCCGTCCGAGTACATCATTAATAAAGTTTTTCGATTCGACACTCTTTTAAAATCAATTTAGCTTGTGTCAAATACTATCTCTTTTATTACCGATTTTGTGATTCTTCTTGTTCTTCAGTCGACGATGACCAGAATAGGTTTTAGGGTATTGTAACGAATCCCTGAACCGTGAGTTACGAACGAAAGTAAGAACCAAAACGGGTTTTGAGCATGCGCAGACGTCCCCCTCGACTCCACTCTGACGCAGCGTCTGCACATGCGTCAAAGGCCGTTTTGCTTCTTACTTTTGTTCTTCAACTTCCGAGATAAGGATTCGTCTAAACGCCTTGTTGGAGTGATCGGGTTGACACAACGTTACGCTAGCTCAGATTCCCCCCCCCCCCCTCCTCCCCAGTATTCGGCAGAAAGACGCAATACACTTTGTTACGCAGAAAATACACCTAAAGAATCATGTACCGCCCAAATTCGGGTGACGTTTCTCGCTAAAGTTTGAGTTCAAAATAGACCCTTTCAGTCCACGCCGGGTGAAGAACGAAAGTAACGAGGTAGGTGTACGCCAGACAGTGGCTTGTATCAGGCTTCGCGATGCTGCGCCCGTTCCGACAATCCACGCCAGGCGTTGGCACCTGCCTTGGCCTGCGGCGCTGGCCTGCCTTCGGCAGAATCTCTCGCTACATTATGAGACCTGATGGCACGCCAAAGCATATTCGGTCCCAACTTGTACGTTGGGGGCCCTGGTACAGGAACCAGTAGCGCGCCGTCACTGTGATAAGGGTACTTCGGAGAAGGGCTGGTCCGGAAGTTGAGAAGAAATCAAGTAGAAGTAATGCCTACACGCTTAAAGCTAAATTTCATTTAAACCCGCCAAAACCCCCGTGAAAGGCCGATTTCTTGTACTGTTTCCGGTCTATGCTCTTCTTCACTTCCGGCCCTGATAGAAGTGTCTAATCGGTCACAAGCGTATTTCACAACAACCGCCGCTAGGTGGCGCGCACCTGAACCAACGCTGCTTTCAGATTTCTTTTGTTCTTCACACGGCGACCACGGAAACCTTTCAGACCCTTGGGTCTGTTCGGGGTTCCTGCCAGCGTACCAGTAGCGAACGGCCTTTGAGCTTTGTTCTGGACCGAACCTCAACTGTGCAACGTGTTGCTACAGTGTACTGACGTAGATCCTGAACCGGAAGCAGGCAGACCAGCAGACGCCAAATTAGCCGGAAACTAACTTCTCTTCGGATCTAAAACTATAGCCGAGCTGTACAAATATTGCTCGCGAAACACACATGCACTGCAAACAAAGTATGAAACGACGTTCAAGTGTGGCCGATACGTTTGACTAACGTCTCTTTCCCATGTCAAGTTTGGATCAATGTCCTTCCGCCAACATGGCGACTGTGTGCTTCCGGTTCAGGGATCTACGAAAGTACCCTTTTCAGGGTAATATGTTGCGTTACGCCCAGCGTAACATTTTGCGCTACGCCCAGCGTAACGTGTTGAACCACGCCCAGCGTAACGTCGTGTTACGCCTGTCGAAACTCAATTTAGATTCAAGAAGTTCCAGAATCACTGACCGGCAGTTCAATTATTTGTCAATAGTCTCTTATCTAGTGAGTATACTCTCAGTCTCGCTGTTCACTTTTAGTACAGTGTATGGGCGTTTAGTCGCTAGCACCTCTAGTTTTTATGTAATAGTCATGAGTACTGTTCGCTTTTGTTCTTATTATGTGCAATTCTGTAAGTTCGTCTGGAAAAAGACTTCTTTATAAATTTCTGCAGTTAATGGTTTGTATTTACGAAGTTACTACATCTGGTTACTCTCGATAGTCAGGCAGAGGCCGAGAGTGTACCTACTTCGGGACAGATTCTGACCGACGTTGAGTGGGTTCAAAGCTCCTTCGTTCGACCGAGTTGGGCTGCTTTAGGAAGGTAGGTAGCTCCCCGCACGTTGCCCTAATCGCCCGATGTCCACTCGACTTCCGGTCTGAATCTTTGCTGACGTTCCCCATGCTAGGCTTTTTTTTTTTTTGACGTGAGGAATTTGGGCTGGTGGAGGAGGCTTTCGTCCCCTTTCGTGAGTATGCACGACGTCACTTTAACCGATGAACTAGCACCTAATGCGATAAAGATAAATAACCACTGCCACCCCGTGTGTGCAACTGGTGACATTGGTTTCAAGCTCTTCGAAATTCAGAAGATCGTATTGATCGTGTTTTGCTGAGAGATCGCGAGCAACGATCATTTAACATGAGATCTTCTACTGCTTAACCAGTCGAAACGCTTCTTGAGATCAACTCGTCTCAACAATTGATCCTGGAAGCGAAAGAAGGGAATAATTGGACTTTTCTCCAAATTGAGTTTTAATCTTATGATTGTGCCTCAGGATGGTTTGCATCCTTACACCAAATTGTTTGACCCAATTCTTATCAGTTTACGCGAATATCCACATGAAAAATTGGAACTCAACTTGACCCCTTTTACGGTCTAAATTTCATCGGTAAATGGAGGTAACTCAACCGAAGTCCACATGACTCCGTTGCTCAAAATGGCAATAGGAATTACAGTGTTCTCCCGCAATAGGTCGACGGCTCGGGACCGGATCTCGGACTATAACGAACACGAAAACCGAACAGCACATGGTGCGAAGGCCGGGCTCCAGCAGTGCTCCGAGCTCGGGGAGGCCATAAAACAATTAGCAGGCCCTTGGGTCCTACACTGGAGTGGCCCGAAACGCAGTGCCGACCGGCGCCTTACGGGTGTACGCTACCTGGCCAGGTCGGCACTGCGGTTCGGGGTCCCGTCAGCGCCCGGGTTCGCGCGTTTTCGACCTGGCGGCACGGAGGACCCCTGTCAATCATCCCCGAGGGTCGAGCTCGCCGGGCCATAAACCCTCGTGCGTAAGCGGGGGCCGTCACATGAAAACGACTTATTGCGAATCGACCTAATGCGGGAGAATACTGTATCGCAACTTGTGTCGTTATGAAACTAATGTTGAAAGAATTAACTCAACTTAACTCCCCATCACTAGTTGGATAAAAGGGGTAACTCCAAAAAAGTATCAGAGAAATATAGACTCTACGCAGACCTCAGCTCTACTTGAATTGTCTCCCAATTCCACCTCGTTTGAGAGAACAAAGTAAACATGGTTCCGTAGTCCACTCCAACGTAAAGATGTAAAGCACAGAAAGCGGCTACAGAGTGATGCTACACTTTTAAAAATTTTCACAGTTATTTCTTAGGCTCTTTTTGACAAAAATGCAATTGCATCATTCATCTGATTGGATTAAGTTTACCCTGCAAACAGTGTTTTTGTTTCTCCTGAAAAATGATGAAAATTGAGTTTTCCCCTTCTTCCGCTTCATGGACCAATTTCGCGTATATTTGTGATGCCCCCATCGAGTCGCATTACATCGCGACGGGCTTTGATTGGTCCGCGCGGTAGGATAAACTGATTCTAGTCGTCCGCGAGGACGAACCAGAAGCATCTCAAAATGGGAAATGGCCCTGACAAATACCCTCACGCGTTCGAGTGCATTTACTTTGAAAGAGTTACCGAAGCGGCACTCTCCTTAAGTCAATCATGCATCTGTCACGTCCTTTCTGGGGAAGGGAATTAACATATTTTTTAGCATTTTCCCCTTGATCAGGATCACTTTCTTTTCCCGACCCACTCTTTTTCGGGTTATGTGATTCTTTTTCTGCAAACGACGACCACTAGAATAGCCTATTTCTCATGTTTGGCATGATTGCTCGCCCCTTGCTCGCGGTCTCTCAGGGGCGAACCCTGCCCTTGGCAGTCAAGATGTAGCTTTCGAAGGAAACTCGGTGAATTTGTGGAGAGTTGTCACTCACGAGTAATTTGGGTTCGTTATGTCCACAGGTCCATTGCCTTTCCCCAATCGTTGCCAAAGGGCTCCGACTTTTTTAAACCTCCTCCACCATGGACATGGAAAGTAGGTTGGAAGAGGAACAGAACCGTTTCCATGTAAATTTAGTACTTCACACAGTAAATTGAAATGGTAGAATCTGTAGTGGTCTGAGAGCCCCAAATCGCAGAAACCGACAGGTAAATAGATCCGGGGCGGTTTTGCACCAAAACCGCCAACGGCAAACCCATTTTGCACACAGGCGACGGAATCCGTGCACTCGCCACGGAATCCGTGCACTCGCCACGGAATCCGGACAACACTGCACCGTAATCGTCAATTGCGATTCCCTCCACCTCGCGACTTTGAGATGTTATATTATTGGAAATAAAGAGTGTAGATGTACCGCGTAAGGAAAAGATTACTTTATAGACTTGTGAAAGCAAGAAAAAGTATGCACACTCATCAAAATGTGTAAATAATGTCCAAAACAACAAAAGCATCCAGAGACACAGTGAGGTTAGGGTGGTCAGCGAGACCGCTACCCCTTAGCAGTTTCTGTGAGCCCATCCCAGTTTCTGTGGAGCCTTTGTCAGTTTCTGTTAGTCCATGCCAGTTTCTGTGACTACCAAATTCAGAGCCATTTACTGGCGGTTTCTGTGCCGAACTGTTACGGATTCTGCCATTTCAATTTACTGTCCATACATACTTCTAAGCAGCACCCAAAAGCATGCACTAAGGGTTTTTCTTTATATTTCTTATCAAAAGTCTGCACGAGTCTTGTATTTTAAGACTTTCTTTTGTATTATTAGAAACCACGGTACAGATGTATTACTACACTGCAAACCTAACTGTCTACTAAGTACACACTTACAAATGCGTGCTTGCAAGTACACACTTACAAACGCATGCTTAGCCAAGTACACACTTACAAATGCATGCTTGGAAGTCCTCACTTACAAACGCATGCTTGACGCCGTATAACTCCATGCGTCAAGCATGCGTTTGTAAGTGTGTACTTGCAAGCAAGCATTTGTAAGTGTGTACTTGGCCAAGCATGCATTTGTAAGTGTGTACTTAGTAGACAGTTAGGTTTGCAGTGTACACGAGTCTCCAGTAATACTGAACCGTCTGATTTGCACTACAAAACCGTTTTTTCATAATACAAATAGTACAGTACAAAGAAGTGTCTAAAACCACCTGCAAATGTTCCGAAGCAATTTCATGTAATTCAAAGAAAAGTTTTGTATTATAAAACATAAAGTTAAGTTGCACAAGAGAAAAGTTTCATAGTATAAATGCGCCGTGCTTTCTTATAAAATAAAAGAATCCTTCGTAATACAGAAGCCGTCCTTAGCAAACTTTTGTGTGAGAATCACCTGGTTTCTTTTTGTACCACTGACTCCAGCCTAAGTATGCTTGTGCATGCAATTTGGCTGGGTTTAAGTGGATTGGCCACAGTGGTGTTGTGTATCTTAAGGAAACCATTGGCCCAGGGAGGGCTTGAGTTTGAGGCTTTGTCCCACGGAACCCACAATTCGCTGCAAATGTCAGAATTTTAATCCAAATTTTTGGTATGATTCCAGTTTGCACGAAGTGTGGCGGGGTCAAAAAGACCAAACGTAAGTACTTCGCTCACTTCTCTACTTCAGTGGGAAACTCTGTGGGAACATCATTAATAACTTAACGTAAGACTTAAGCACGGCCACATTCTTATGCAACTCGTTTTGTGACAAAAATGTGGAGACGGAGCTATGTCTTAAAGCATAGACTTGTATTTAGTTAAAAGTTCAAACTACGGATGTGCGAATCAAGGGTTTTCATTTCGAATCGAGTCAAAAAAATAAGATTCCGAACTCAAATTGAATCTTGAAAAATCGAATCGAACTTTCAAATATTCGATTTCGACCTGAAACGACAATGTAATTGGTGCTTTTCAAAACACATTTTCTGTGATAAAGGAAGAGCATAGAGCAGGAATAAAAAAAAAAGAAGAAAAATCAAATATCTGATCTTGCTTAGATCAAAACAACGCTATGCGCGATACTTTCAACCGATTCGGGGTCGAAGCAAAGAGACCCTTCCCCGAATCGAGGTGAATCACCCCTAATTCGATACCGAACTATTCGCACATCCCTAGTTCAAACCCAATAAACTCAATGTGAAACTCGTAGTCAGCTTTTTCTCACCAACGCTCATTTTCGGTTAGCCGAATTACTTACTTTTCGGTGCATTGCTTTGCACGGAATTGGCATACGCTTTGAAATACGCGGGTTCGTGTAACAAAGCAAGAAAACGTGCATTATTATGTAGCATCTCGCGCGTCGTTGCGCGAGAATACGTGTTTTCACGCGTACGCTTAAGTTCCTAGTGTCCACAAAAAAAAAAACTATACATCGAAGTAATTAGAGGCGTAATAGATTTGAAGCGATCTGAAGTGATCAGGAAGCGAAAGAACGAGGGAACTCAATTTTTATTCATTTTCGGGAGATATTTAGAGTTCTCTGCAGGGGAAAGTGGCTTAAGATGACTACTAGTGACGTAGTAAAAGTGCGACATATTTGTGACAGAAGACCGTGCCGCCGGTGCTGTTGCGTCACCTCATCTAGAGGACTCTACAGAGCCAACTGCGGACCCAGTGACGAATCACAGGACGCAGGAAACAACGGCAGCGTCTAGGTATAAAATGTTTTTCACAATTTCAGTCAAGTGGCAATTCTTTCTACGATTTGATAGTATCTGCACCCGAGTTAAAATAGAAGGCTGCAGAAAGGCTGACGCACGGCTGACGCATGGCTGTATGGGCCGTTTTTTGGCTGTATGCATGGCTGCCGTGGCTGCCTTGCAGCCATGTCGCAGCCATAGCGACGTCCTGGACTTGCAGCCATCCACGCTGCAGTGGCTGGTCTGGCTGTTTCACGGAGCGCTTTGGCTGTGAAACGCTTCAGAAGCTGCGCACAGAAGCCTTTTGGCTGCCCTAAGCAGCCTATAAACGCTGCCACGCACAGCCAACTTAGCTGCAATGGCTGTAGGCTGCGCGTCGCAGCGTGTTGGCTGCTGGCGCCAGCCGGGCCGTGGCTGGACGTTACAGCCATGTAGGCTGCCACGGCTGTAGGCTGCGCGTCGCAGCGTGTTGGCTGCTGGCGCCAGCCGGGCCGTGGCTAGACGTTACAGCCATGTAGGCTGCCACGGCTGTTGGTTGCGCGTCGCAGCGTGTTGGCTGCTGGCGCCAGCTGGGCCATGGCTGGACGTTACAGCCATGCAGGCTGCCACGGCTGTAGGCTGCGCGTCGCAGCGTGTTGGCTGCTGGCGCCAGCCGGGCCGCGGCTGGATTTTACAGCCACGCGGGCTGCAATGGCTGTAGGCTGCGCACTGCGCGTCGCAGCGTGCTGGCTGCTAGCGGCAGCCTGGCCGCGGCTGTACTTTACAGCCACGCAGGCTGCAATGGCTGTAGGCTGCGCGTCGCAGCGTGTTGGCTGCCGGATGCAGCCGGGCTACGGCAGGACTAAACAGCCATGTAGGCTGCAATGGCTGTAGGCTACGGATTGCAGCATGGTGGATGCTGGCGGTATTCAGGCAACGGTCGTATTCCTTGATTAAAGGGCCATAAAAAATAGAAAAAAATAGACTGGGTGCGTGGTATGCTGATATTTGAGTTGAATACGTTAACATACATAAGCCATGCAAGTTTCGTAAAAATCGGGAAACTTTTTTGTTATCTTTGATATCTCGGGAACGGTAAGTCCTACATGAAATTACTTAGCAGATTTGGATCTGGAACGGTGTTCGGACCCTAGAAACTCTACAAAGGGCCCCATAGAACTTCAAAGGGCGTAACAGGGACCCTCAAAGGTCCTCATGGGGACCTTCATGAACTAAGGAGTGAAGCCTAGTAGCGATATGGATGCTGCCGATGGCATCCACGAGGCTGCAGGATGCGGCCGAGATGTGGCTCTGACCCGCAGCTTCATAGCTGCCGGGGGCAGCGTGGGCCGGGCGAAAGAAGGCTGCCTGGAGCATCCTGAAGGCTGCGGGGTGCAGCCTACAGCAGCGCCTCACAGCCTCCAGGCTTCCAGGGGCAGCGTGGCCCGGGCGAAGGAAGGCTGCCTGGGGCATCCTGAAGGCTGCGGGGTGCAGCTTAGAGCAGCGCCTCGCAGCTGCTGGGGGCAGCGTGGCTCGCGAAGGAAGGCTGTCTGGCGCATCCTGCAGGCTGCGGGGTGCAGCCTAGAGCAGCGGGGGCAGCGCTGACTGGGCTCCAAAGGGACACTTCAGTGGCTGGCAGGTGCAGCCATAGAGACCACTAAATTATGCATATAGAATCATCATTTTATGCGCCACATTTTGACCCATTTATGCGGACTTTATGCGCCTAAAAATGTAGTTTTATGCGGGGTTTATGCGGGTAAAATTGTGGTTTTATGCAAAAATATGCGAAGGAGGAAAATAGGAGCGGAATGACAAATAGTAGAATTAGCTCATAAAAAAGTATTTAATGTTATTATCACATTAAAATTATTCAAGTTAACACACTTTAAAATTCAGTCAAGTAATGAAATGACTAGTTTCATTCAGATCAGATACAGAGATACAATAGAATGAATACATCATTATCATTCATTTTTTAATCATTATTCCATGCCATGTCCTCAGCATCATTATAATACACAGAGTGGGTGCCTGCACCACCACCACCAGCCACACCTGCACCGTCCACTATATTTTGTGCATTTTGATCATAATCATCGCCATCATCAACTTGCTCAGAACACTTATCTTATTATTCAAGTCAACTCCATTACAGAAATAAATGCACATCATAGCTTCTGCCTTCTCATTAGCCAAATTTGTTCTTTTGGGAGAAAATATGTCACCATATGCACTGAAACCCCTTTCACTGTCAACATTTGCCACACTCACATGTAGTACTTGCAAACAAGAAATAGAAAAGTCACTGGGGTCTTTCATCATAGAATTCAAAGCATTTACAACAAGGTCCCCCCTATGGGCACTTTTTTCATAGGATCAGCATTAGCATTTTTTTCCCTTTACTGGTCAGAAAGTAATGAATCCCAAAATTAAAAAAACAGTTTGTTGGAATGGAATCCAAAATTTTAATTTTCTCTTTTGCCTGTGAAATCTTTTCATGAGAAAGAGAAGCAGCTAACTTACGGGGATAAAGAGCAGCCTAGGACTAAAAAAATTCTCTAGCAGTGTCATCTTTCATCTGAGATTGCAACAGGTCATCACAAGAGACACACACCTGCTTAATTCTTTCAAGCAATTTTTTTTGTTTAGAGGAAGGAACTAAGTCAACACATGCTTTTGTCTTCTCAAGTAAAAAGACTTGATGTCTTTAGAACTATCCCCGGCTTTTGCCACACTTGACATAGTCACACTCAGCTTTTTTACCTTAGCATACAATAAGTGAGACATTGGATATTTAGAACCCTCTACTAGCAGCTGCAAATCAAAAACAGGGCCACAATAATCTACAACAAATTTTGCCTCTGCCTTAATTATTAACAGGTCCTCAGGTTTCAATTTCAAAAAATTTTTTACAGCTTTTGTTTCATTCTTCCCCAGTCAACTGCTTTTTCACATATTCAGCTACATCATCAACATTTTCAGACAAATACACAACAGATTTTTTCCATGTTCCCCATCTGGTCATGACGGGTAAGGGAAATTGTTTCACTTCTTTAGCTCTAGAAAAAGAATACTTTTCTTTTAAAAAAGTAACATATCTGTTTTTCCTTTTTCGGGTGTTTTTGAAAATTTTCTTATTTTGGACACACATTCATTAAGTCTATACAGTTTCTCGGGGAAAAATTCTCACAACCTTATCCAACTTGTGGGCCCAACACTGCAGGTGTATCAAACCAGGATTATCAAGGAGTGTCCTGAGAAGACGAAACACAAGTTTATGTAGGCAGCACTGTCCGAACCGATGGCCACTATGTTCAATGGGCAACTTCATAGTGTTGAACAGTCTGAAAAAAGAGAGAGAGAGAAAGTTAAAGACTTAACTCTCAATCTAAATACACAAAAAAATAAATTCTAATACTATACCAAACCTGCAGTATTGCCTTTGAACATTCGTCTGCATTGGCATTCTCAAGAATTTTCACTGAAGCCCCAAAAAAGTTGGGATGTTGGATTCTCTTTAGAGGGTAGCCCCTTTAAGAGGGGTTTGGAAAACCGCCTGGCCTCTCCTATTTGTTGTTTCGTCACACAGCACAACAATTTTCTTTCCCTTCACTTTATCTTTGAGATAATCGTCGTATTCTTTTTCAAAAAGGGGGGAAAATTTGTCTCGAAGCTGCTGAGCACCGGCAAATCACCGGAACCTGAAAAAAGAGGGGAAAAAATAAATATACAGGGTTGTTTACTTGCAGTAGTTTGGAGGTTAGGTCCATTCAACCGGTACCAAAACACATAACGACGAGTGTAAGCTCCTCGTTTTAGAAATATTTTTCTCACCAGGAAAGTATTTTTTGAACCACTTCCTCATTTCAGGCTTGTCAAGCTTTCTAGTGGTATGTTAGGTTAACAAACGCTCGCACTGTCGACTTAATGAACTCTTCTCTATCTTCCTTTACCTTTTGGCATTACTCATACTTTCCGAAATAGATGCCTGCCTTTTTTTCTTCGCAGCCGCCTCAGCCTCAACTTTTTTCCCGTTGTTTTTGTGCAAATCCGCCTTGATGTGATTGTCAATGGTGCTCTTGCGCTCATGGTCAACTCTCTTGTCGCAAAATTTGCACCAAAAATTTCTTGTCAAACACGTACATACCATCATCATGATATGCAAACGCCCTAGCTGCCGCTGTTGCAGGGGCCATTGTAATGTTTATGCGGCCGGCAAAGCCGTGCCCCCAAAAAACCCCCACAATATCAAAACACTTGCGTCTGTCCGCAATCTCACTCACTACTCGAAGTCCATAAACCCCGTCGAACATGCTGGGAAAGGGCGAGAAAGCGAACGGGTGGAGGGGGCGAGGGGGGCGGGGCGGGGGGTGGGGCGGGACCCTGCGGTGAGGGCGCAGGAAACAAGGCCTATTTTTAAAAGGTGGCGCGCAAAAGCTGGGGGAAAAGGCGTATTTTTTCGGGTTTGGGGTCAAGGATTTATGCGGGAAAAGTCTTTTGCGATAAAAGAAGATCTTTTTTGCGTTTGGAAAATTGCGCATTAGGGTCTTTTTTCCGGTTGAAAAACTGTTAAACTGTCCGCTTTTTTTATTTAAAAAAAGGTTTGACGTTAATTTAGGGTCTCATGGCCAAGACCTCCCCTGCGGATGGCTTATTTTGGTGCGAGCCCAAACGCCAAGGAGCCACCGGCCACCGCGCGGTGAACGGGGGGAGAGCCGCAGAATCGCGCCTATTTTTTCTGGGCAAAGTTTCGCCCTTTTTAAAGATTTTGGAGCCTCAATTTGGTTATGGGAAAGTTGGAAAAAATGAAAAATGTTGTCTTCTTAAATTATCGTCTCCGTTTGCTTGACTCAAACTTTTAATTGTCCCTTCTCTACAACAAAAACGATTTGGGATAATAAATGTTCCCTTTTTTTCCGCTTTTCGGGTCAAATTTATTTCTACTTTGTTTAAAAAATTTACGTTTTATTTCAAAAACTAAGGCACTTAATGTCATGGGACTTATTTGACCCGTGAACGATGCAATTCGCCGTTGATACGCCCCCTGCAAATAGTACTTTAATCGACTTTAATAGACAATTTGTCCCGCCTGCACTCTTATTCCAGGAACGTGACATCACGTCGGAACGAACGTGACAAAATGTCACGTTCGTTTGAGCATTGGATCGCGTTCGTTTGAGTGTTGACAAGCTGATTTTTGGGCAATCCACACCCAAACGAATGTGACTTAATGATCAAACGAACGTGACATTTTGTCACGTTCGTTTCAACGTGTTGTCACGTTCCTGGATGAGCTTAAAATTGCATAATTCATGGGTCTAAGAAGGTCCTTGACATTTTAGTGTGCACAGCCAAAATACGCAAACTCAAGCGTGTGCCAAGCTCACCCTTCATGGAGTCGGCCTCAAGGCACACACTTGGTTTTGTGGTCACTTGATGAATAGACCGTGGCGTCTTCCATTCTTGTCAGAAACATTTGCCTTGAAATTGGCATGAAGTGACAATTAGAGTTTTTGCAGTGCTTTCAGCAAAGAAGTTTGTTCCTTGGGCTGACTCGGTAGTGCTCGGCACACACTTGACTTTGCAAAGTAGAATGGCCCTTATTTTGAGATGACGTCATTGCCACTATGTTTCTTTCTGTAAGCATAGTTCCGATTGTTTTTCTTCGGCAGTGCTGGCAGCGACTCGCCCGCCAGGCTTCCCCGTGAGGCGACCCTCGCCGAATCATGGAGTCAATCTCCACCGGTTCCACAGGGCTCCTTGGACTCCACTGCACAACCAACCTCACCGGAGCCTCCAGTCCCTCCAGGACCCCTAGATGCGCCACCTGACCTGGACCCTCCGCCCAATCTGTTCCCCTCGCCTAACCTGGACCCCCCACTTCCAGAGCCAGACTCCCAACATCGTTTGAAGTTGAAAGTGGCCAAGAGGAAGGCGTCTGTGCCGGGGAAGGAGGCTGCTTCGAAGCCTCAGGCGGACGCCCCGGCGAGGCGGTCAAGACGTCGCGCCTCCCCGTCTGCGACGCCAGGCCCGAGCGACGCCCGTCCAGCGCCGGTGAGGAAGCCAAGGCGTCGAACCCCCAAGTCACCGCCGGGGAGCCGAGCCACCCTGGCCACCAGGCTGCAGATGACCATGGCTTTGGTGGACGAGAACAGAGACCTGCGCTGCTCCAAGTGCGACATTAGGTTCGGCAGCCCCAGAGACCTCGCAGGTCACTTGCGGCAGCACAATGCCAAACGGCCCTTCCAGTGTGACGAGTGCGGCCGAAGCTTCGCGGAGTATTGGAACCTACGGATGCACCAGTTCATCCACACTGGTGAAAAGCCGTTCCAGTGCAAGGTGTGCTCCAAGAAGTTCCGAGCCAAGGACAGCCTCAGGCAGCACATGACGCTGCATTCCGGAGAAATGCGTTACGCGTGTGAGAGCTGTGGAAAGAAGTTCAAGTTCCGGTCGTCGCAGCACCGGCACAGGAAGTCCTGCCCTGCGAATCAATCGTAGCGTTCCTTGTTTGGTTCGGAGCATAGGGTCTCCTATGCTACTGGAACCACTATGTAGTCTTGCTCTTCCATTATAAGTTTCTATTTCTGAACTGTCTTACATTTTCCGTCATGTACAATGACTGGTAACGACGTTCTATTTTGTTTCTTTTCAAGTATTGGTGATCATGCCACATGATACTGGCATCATTCTACATGATGGTATGGCAGCCGCCACGGTAAATTTAAATGTAACACGCTTTCGATGCGAAACACGAAGTCTCACTATTTCTCTTAAAAAGGTGTCTCACTTATTTTTTTTTGTGTTTTCTATGAATCGACCGATTGTGGGTTTTCATATTCTCAGCTTATCTAATTGAAATAAAGTTTTGTTTTGCTTGCATTGTTATGCCGTGTTTGGAGATGCTTCCTACCTTCTTGAAGGATATTCTGAAAATGGAGCAATCACAAAGGTGCGGAACATTCTGTGAATTTCTTTTTTTGCCAGGATTCTCCGTAGCCTCCTTATCAATATTCTCCGTAGGATCTTACAGTATTCTCTGTGGGACCCTACAGTATCCTCCGTAGGACCGTAAAGGCTTCTCCGTAGGGCCTGGAAGACTGTGGTCCTGCGGAGAAGACTGTACGCTCCTACTCACAATACTGTAAGGTCCTACGGAGAATATACTAAGGGGGCTACGGATAATCACGAAGAGCTGTTAACAGAATTTTCCGTAGCTTCTTGCCTCAGTGTACTTTAACAATTTTTTGCGATTCCTACGATATTGTACCCTGGAGTGCATTAGTTTTTTTGAAATAACCACCCCTTAATTTTTGCGATGAAAGAGCGTTTTGTAGGGACTTCCATCACAATTTTTTGTGATGACTTTTTACTGCATCTTCTTTGTAGTCATTATCGTATAAACGTGATACTTTATTGCAAACTTTAGCTGTAAATTTTTTATTGTAGATTTATTGTAGTATTCACAGCAAAAAAACTTGTGATCAGTTTTTTATTGCAAAATTTAGACAGTAACTATCGCAGTTTGAATTAAGTGAAACCCTGTTAAAATCGCACGTTGTATCTGAACTTGCCTATCTTGACTCATGCAGTTTAATAGCCAGATAGTACTGATTGAGTGAGCAGAACGATTTTACCGAGTGCACGGAGGGTGTCAATAAGAACATGACAGGCATACTTTGATACATGATATAATTGGAGCTCTTACAGGTCAGGCATTTAACAACTAAGTGTATTTAGTTAGCCACCAATTGTGAACGAAAGAGAGAACTCTTCCTGCTGATAAGAGAAAATAAAGAACAACTGACTAGGGTAATCATTATAAAATTACACGTAAAAAGATGACAACGAACAAAAGTAGAGAACAACTAAAACAATATGAGAAATGCACTGCTGGTACCAACAGATGACAATCGGACAACGGGAATGCCAGCTTAGCATGATCCTGGGATCATGGCATCTAGCATGGTCCTGCGGAGAAGACTGTACGCTCCTACTCACAATACTGTAAGGTCCTACGGAGAATATACTAAGGGGGCTACGGATAATCACGAAGAGCTGTTTACAGAATTTTCCGTAGCTTCTTGCCTGTGTACTTTAACAATTTTTTGCGATTCCTACGATATTGTACCCTGGAGTGCATTAGTTTTTTTGCAATAACCACCCCTTAATTTTTGCGATGAAAGAGCGTTTTGTAGGGACTTCCATCACAATTTTTTGTGATGACTTTTTACTGCATCTTCTTTGTAGTCATTATTGTATAAACGTGATACTTTATTGCAAACTTTAGCTGTAAATTTTTTATTGTAGATTTATTGTAGTATTCACAGCAAAAAAACTTGTGATCAGTTTTTTATTGCAAAATTTAGACAGTAATTATCGCAGTTTGAATTAAGTGAAACCCTGTTAAAATCGCACGTTGTGTCTGAACTTGCCTATCTTGACTTATGCAGTTTAATAGCCAGATAGTACTGATTGAGTGAGCAGAACGATTTTACCGAGTGCACGGAGGGTGTCAATAAGAACATGACAGGCATACTTTGAAACATGATATAATTGGAGCTCTTACAGGTCAGACATTTAACAACTAAGTGTATTTAGTTAGCCACTATTGTGAACGAAAGAGAAAATAAAGTACTACTGACAAAGGAAATCATTCTAAAATTACACGTAAAAAGATGACAACGAACAAAAGTAGAGAAGAACTTAAACAATATAAGAAATGCACTGTTCGGACCAACAAATGGCAATCGGACAACGGGAAGGCCAGCTTAGCATGATCAAAGCCACCGGTAACAGTCTGGAGGGCAGCCAGCCTGCCTGGCGTGTGCCCCCAGTGTCACTTGACGTGTGTCACTCCGATCCACTCCGAAGCACCACGAGCAATTAACGGAGTAACAGTATTCCAACGGCGCGCGAAGGTGGAGGAAAGGGTTCCTTCGCAGCAGGTCTCGTATAGAGCGGTCGTGAAGCCACGCTTGAGGGCACACACCTCCAGGAGAGGGTAACTGCAGCGCCAGCATGGTGAGGCGCGGGGCTGTCGTGGGACTGACGGCCCGCACGAAGTCCGCCAAGTCCACTTCCTTGTACTGGAAACTGATAACCATGGAGAGGGTCCGCAGCGCCGGGAAGTGAGGCAGAGCGGCGGCCATGTGGCCAAGGACGCTGCACGATGAACGTACGTCAAAATGAAGGGTCTCAAGGATACGGGCCGAGGGCGATGCGGCCAGTGCAAGCAGCGGGGCAGTGGGATCAGGATCGTTGCAAGGAACCGACACAGAGCGGAGCCGCGGTGCCCCGCGCAGCAGTTTCAGTACACCTGGGGAAACTTTACATTCACACCCAAATGATAATGAGGAGAGGTTGGGCAAGTTCTTCAGTTCGGACAGATCATCCCTTGAGACTTTTTCGAAGGACAAGGTGCGCAGGTTCAGTAGCACTTTTAGTGACGACACGGGAATATGCGTCGAGTCCAGGTGTACATCTTCGAGGGTGGCGGCATACGCCTTCAGTAAAGCTTCCATCCAGGTAAGTATCTTGGGAAAGCGTGGTGTAGCTGAGCTTCTTCAAGGAAGAGATACCTGCCAAGTCATTCAAAGACGCTAACAGCGGCTCTCGAGAATAATTACATATTTGCAAACTATGGAGATGGTTTACACTGCTAATCGCGACAGCCAGTAGATGGATATTCCACTTTATGGCTCGCGTGGAAATGGGATCAAAGGCCAGAACGAGCTCCTTCACACCACCTAAGCGGGATTGTTTCAACACTGCAGCCGAAGCCCGCGCCACGCTCAGATTGGACACGAAGAGCTTAAGCCGGGCAACAACACACGCAGTGACTTCAGGCTCCGGGTCAGTTTCACCAGTGTAATACAGGTTCACTTCCCGGAGGCAGGGTGCAAGGCGGAGGGCGGCGCGCAACGTGGAATCCCTAGACGAAAGTCGAACGCGGCGCCACAGGTCCGCGTGCAGGCACAGGTCGCGGAGGCGGCGGCACAGCACGCGGCAGTCGAAGAGCTGTCTCGGCGGCAGGAACGCCAGCACGGCCAGCAGCGCGTCGTCCGGCAGGGCCAGCAGCAGCTGCGGGCAACAAACACCGCAAATGTTGGTGAAAGTCTCATTCCAGGATCGCGACATTACGGTGAAACGAAATGCGACAAAATGTCACGATCCTTTCAGCGTAGTGTCACATTCGTTTGGATCCATGCACAAAGTTTAATTGAGAGGCTGAGAGGACACCACAGCCATTTTTTCCATGCAGGACAAATGAACGGTGCACACCAACTAGCCATGGACTTTTTTGTTAGCAATTACCGAGCGATTATGTGTCCGTTGCAAAACGTTACCAGAGGGCGACAATTCAATCACAAACCATAGACAAATTTGTGCACCGATTTTTGGAAGCATTATTGTTTATAAACTGAGCGATAAATTGTTCACAAATGTGGACAAGCATGTCCGAGAAAGTCCATAACACTAGTTAGTATGTAGAAAATGAAACAAATTATGTCTATTAGCAATACGCTTATTTCGTCCCCAAGATCTGGAGGCAACGTGAAGTGTCCTACAGATCGACAAACTTGTCAACAGCCCTACATCACATTGTTTAAAAGCCATGGACAATTATGTAGACATTTGGTAACGCGTTGTAAGATACAAAGAAAAACCTGCGTAATACGAAGAAAAACCACTTTCGTATTATGCTTGCTCCATTTCCTTCGTATTATGGGAAATTTCTTCGTAAGACATATTGAGTGCTGATCGCGCCGGAAGTACGCATGAAGCCTATTCCGTGTACACTTCCGGCGCGATCGGGGCCATTTCCGGTCCCAGTCAGGTTACTTCCGCAGTTTAGTGGATGCAATATGCTATCAAGAGCGTATATTTACATGTGCATCGAGTGGGACGTCTTGAATGGCAAAACACACCGCACTGATGAAAAACACCAAAATGCAGCAAAAACGACGATTTTCACGCCATTTTAAGACTAAAACGGCCTCCGCCCGGGCCAAAGACCTTGTCCGACAGCTCTCCCTAAAATTTACAGCATTCGGACGTATGTTCCGCATGAAAAGCGAGATAGGGCATGTCAAATTTGTCCCTGGTCCCAATGTCATGCTCGTAAAAGTGTCACTTTTGACGATTATTATCGTAGGTCTAATTAAACCTATTTTGTGAGGCCTCTGATGGGGAAGAAGGGGGCGGCTCCGGTCAAAACAGTTTCAGCACTAGTCTTACAGTATCGTAAGAGTCCCATTTCCGCGAAACATTTTTCGATTTTAGATCCATGATCCTCGCATGTAGTCCATTGAAGTATCGACCGACACCCCCTGAATACGAAGAGACGACTTACCGATTGGTCCATTGTTACGGCGACGTTGCGGGCGATTCCTACAGCACGGTGGGGAAGTACTCTGGAACACGTTGTCAAGGCGCCGTCCTCGCAGTGGTGCAGCCCAGCGCGACCTACAGTGAAAGAAGTCAGAGCACTGTGGGGGCACTCTCATTGCAAGTACGTGACGTCACGTTGAAACGAACGTGACAAAGTGTCACGTTCGTTTGAGCATTGTGTCACATTCCTTTGGATGTCAATCGGCCAAAAATTAGCTTGTTCACGTTCATTTTGTCACGTTCGTTTCAACGTGATGTCACGTACTTGGAATGAGAGTGGAAGACGAAGAACGAAAACAAGTCAGAAATGACCTCTTGTTTAGCCGATCCGTAGGTTCAGTGGAAGTAAAATGAGAATCACAAAGCGTCTCGTGGGTCTGGGTGGTTGAAGACCGCGAGCGAGTACAAGAACCGGAAATCCTATTTCTCTCTGCCTCTGAACCGACGATCGTCTTAATTTCTATGTGTGATCTGTAGGGTTCCAGTCTACGAGTGTGCCAGCCAGAATACTTTTACAATCACGTTACGCAAGTGCATTACAAGACTCGGTGAGGGTGCTGAAATGGAGGTGCGTAGGTGGAGCCAACGCTCGGCGTCGTTCTTAGTTCCCCCCTTTTCGCTCTTAGCTCCGTTCCGCGACGGCGCCAGAGTTTTCTCTGAGGATTGCAAGGCAATGCCAGGAAAGAGAAGCCCCGCAAACAGTTCTTCCTCTTCTCGCCTGACTTTCGAAGTTAAGCTAGAATCAACTTACGTGATTTTCGCCTCCTGCCAAGAACACTTAAACCCGAGCGGAGAACCACTCAACGTCCTGGCGTACCCATGAGTACGTATGTACGGGCGAGTACACCTTGTAATACTCATTAATTTCACACTTACATCACAATCAATTATATTGTCACCAAAGCTCCTATTCTTATTGCGTAGACGTGGCAACGTCATCAGCAACTTTTATGGTATTCCTGTCGGGAACCTTTTTTCTTTGAAATTTTCATCAAGTGACGATTAGAATTTTTGAGGTGCTTTCAGCTAAGAAGTTGGTTCCTTGGGGTAACTCCATACACTACAAACGTATTGGTCGGACACATGTCCAAAGTATGGCGTGACAAAAGGTCACGCGGAAAATTGGCGTGACACGAAATTAACGCCGGTAAACGGCAAGACGTGTGCGTCACGCCCTCATTTGCCGTGAATGACAAGACGTTTTACGAGAAAAGTCATGCCAAAAAGCGTCATGGCGAGCAATTTACACCCAAAATTGGCGCGGATTTTTAAGTCACGCCGTTTTATGGCGTTGACTTTTCTGTCATGCTGTTTTTGGCGTGATTCATTAACGCTCCTGCAGCGGCACGAAGTCACGCCGATAGATTTTCAGTGTAGTGCGTGTTAGGCACACACTTGACTGTGCAGAGTAGAATGGCCCCTATTTTGTGGTGACGTCATTGCCACACGGTGAAACCGATGTCTGGAAATTTCCAGACATTTTTTCCCATTTCCAGACATTGTCTGGAAATGGCCGTTTTTTTCCAGACAATGTCTGGAAATGTCTACTTTTTCCAGATAATGTCTGGAAATGGTCAAATCCCAGATATATATCTGGAAAAAAAACGGCATTTCCAGACAATGTCTGGAAATAACATTTTCCAGATAATATCTGGAAATTTCCCAGATAATGTCTGGAAACAAAGGCCTTGACGCCGAGGTCCACGGATTTGCGACCTGGGGGTCCCCGATGGTGTCCTCGAGGTCCCCAGGACACGAGGAGTCCAACGCCGAGGTCGCCGACGCTCTAGGACAAGCGGTTCCGGAGATACGGGGACGTACCACAAGGAGTCCGTCAAAGCAACTTTTTAGTTGGAGGCCAAAATCATCATCGGCCTCTGGCTGCGTTCCACTTGGGTGTCCGGGACTTTTGACTTCAGCATCGTGTTAAGGTAGTGCTAGACTACCAGGAACCCGTCAGGGGTCGCCGTCGGACCAACGGTGCGCCCAGGATGCCGACGAACGTGCCGCCGGGTCCTCCGCACCAGCCGCGAGCTTGGACGACGAAGCGGCCGTTAGAACACACTAACGGCCGACTAAGCACGTGGTGGCGTCGACGTACACGTCGGCGGCGTCGGTGCCAACGGCGTCGGCCTCCGTCGTCCAAGCTCGCGGTTGGTGCGGAGGACCCGGCGGCAGCGGCCGCAGCGGTGGCGACGATCGTTTAGGCACCCGGCACGCCACGGCGCTCCGGCGTGCCTCACGTTCGTCGGCATCCTGGGCGCACCGGTGGTCCGACGGCGACCCCTGACGGGTTCCTGGTAGTCTAGCACTACCTTAACACGATGCTGAAGTCAAAAGTCCCGGACACCCAAGTGGAACGCAGCCAGAGGCCGATGATGATTTTGGCCTCCAACTAAAAAGTTGCTTTGACGGACTCCTTGTGGTACGTCCTCGTATCTCCGGAACCGCTTGTCCTAGAGCGTCGGCGACCTCGGCGTTGGACTCCTCGTGTCCTGGGGACCTCGAGGACACCATCGGGGACCCCCAGGTCGCAAATCCGTGGACCTCGGCGTCAAGGCCTTTGTTTCCAGACATTATCTGGGAAATTTCCAGATATTATCTGGAAAATGTTATTTCCAGATATTATCTGGAAAATGTTATTTCCAGACATTGTCTGGAAATGCCGTTTTTAGCAGATGATACCTTCACACTTGAAACATACTTAAAACTACTATACACAAATGAAGGTGTCAGCGTGCTTTTACTCTCGAGTCCAGAAACCAAGCGCGTATCCTAACAATATAATAGGGGCTGGCGGCCGGGGCGGGCTGGTGCGTGTGGCTGGCTGGCTGGCTGGCAATGAGGCGCAGCCTGCGCGGAATTCGACAATCCCTCCGCGGTACAGCGCCAGCGGCACCGGGCGTCAACAATGGCACCTCCTCCTCGCACTGACAATCCCTCCCCGCCTGCCACGGCGCGGAGTATCGCGCAACAATGCCTCCCGATTCGGCCCGGCCTGGGGCGCTCGCTGGGGCTCGGCGGCGTGCGGTGCAAGCCACAGGTCGGCACGGCTAGTACCAACACCGGCCAGCTCACTCGGGTCTGTGTATTTTGTTTCATACACAATTTTAAATACTATCTTTGGAATGATCCCGCGTACTACCCCGTATAAGAAAACCAAACGAGTATCATCTGCTTTCATTAACGTTCGTTGAATGAGATTTTTTTTCCAGATATATATCTGGGATTTGACCATTTCCAGACATTATCTGGAAAAAGTAGACATTTCCAGACATTGTCTGGAAAAAAACGGCCATTTCCAGACAATGTCTGGAAATGGGAAAAAATGTCTGGAAATTTCCAGACATCGGTTTCACCGTGCATTACGTTTCTTTCTGTAAGCATATTTCCGATTGTGTTTCTTCGGCAGTGCTGGCAGCGACTCGCCCGCCAGGCCTCTCCGTGAGGCGACCCTCGCCGAATCATGGAGTCAATCTCCACCGGTTCCACAGGGCTCCTTGGACTCCACTGCACACCCAAACTCACCGGAGCCTCCAGTCCCTCCAGGACCCCTAGATGCGCCACCTGACCTGGACCCTCCGCCTGACCTGGACCCCCCACTTCCAGAGTCGGACTCCCAACATCTTTTGAAGTTGAAAGTGGCCAAGAGGAAGGCGTCTGTGCCCAGGAAGGAGGGTGCTTCGAAGCCTCACGCGGACGCCCCGGCGAGGCGTTCAAGACGTCGCGCCTCCCCATCTGCGTCGCCAGGCCCGAGCGACGCCCGTGCAGCCCCGGTGAGGAAGTCAAGGCGTCGAACCTCCAAGTCTCCGCCGGGGAGCCGAGCCACCCTGGCCAACAGGCTGCAGATGACGATGGCTTTGGTGGACCAGAACAGAGACCTGCGCTGCTCCAAGTGTGACATAAGGTTCGCCAACCCCAAGGACCTCGTGGCTCACTTGCGGCAGCACAATGCTAAACGGCCCTTCGAGTGTGACGAGTGCGGCCGAAGCTTCGCGGAGTATTGGAACCTACGGATGCACCAGTTCATCCACACTGGTGAAAAGCCGTTCCAGTGCAAGGTGTGCTCCAAGAAGTTCCGAGCCAAGGACGCCTCAGGCAGCACATGACGCTGCTTTCCCGGAGAAATGCGTTACGCGTGGAGAGCTGTGGCGAGAGTTCAAGTTCCGGTCGTCGCAGCACCGGCACAGGAAGTCCTGCATGCGAATCAATCGTAGCGTTCCTTGTTTGGTTCTGACATAGAGTCACCTATGCTACTGTAACCACTATGTTGTCTTGCTCTTCCATTAAAAGTTTCTATTTCTAAACTGTTTACATTTTTTGTCATGTACAAAGTATTGGTGATCATGCCACATGCAATGGCATCTTTCTACATGATGGTTGGCAGCCGCCCGGTAAATTTAAAAAACACGCTTTCGAGGCGAAATACGAATCTCACTATTTCTTTTAAAAGGTGTCTCGCTTTTTTTTTTTTGTGTGTGTTCTATGAATCGACCGATTGTGGGTTTTCATATTCTCACCTTATCTTATTGATATAAAGTTTTGTTTTGCTTGCATTGTAATGCCGCTTTTGGAAATGCTTCCTACCTTCTTGAACGATATTCTGAAAATGGAGCAATCACAAAGGGCGGAAAATTCTGTAATTTTTTTGCCAGGATTCTCCGTAGCCCCCTTTATCAATATTCTCCGTAGGATCTTACAGTATTCTCTGTGGGACCCTACAGTATCCTCCGTAGGATCGTAAAGGCTTCTCCGTAGGGCCTGGAAGACTAGGTCCTGCGGAGAAGACTGTACGCCCTACTCACATACTGTAAGGTCCACGGAGAATATACTAAGGGGCTACGGAGAATCAGCAAGAGCTTTTTCAGAATTTTCCATAGCTTCTTGCCTCAGTGTACTTTAACAATTTTTTGCGATTCCCGATATTGTTCCCTGGAGTGCTTTAAATTTTTTTGAAATAACCCCCCCTTTAAATTTTTTGCGATGAAGAGCTTTTTGTAGTTTTTACTGCATTTTCTTTCTACACTCTAAATGTCTTACAATGAAATTTGTCTATTTTATTCGTATGTTACAGTGAATTCGGCGAAAGCATAATCAAAGCAAAATTCCTTCGTAATACGAATCTTTTTAGCTTTTTCATGGTAGATACAAAGAAAAACCTTCGTAATAGAAGAAAAACCACCTTCGTATTATGCTTGCGCCTTTTCCTTCGTTTTATGGGAAATTTCTTCGTAAGACTTTTAGAGTGTAGTCATTATCGCATAAACGTGATACTTCTTTAAAAAACTTTATCTGAAAATTTTTTTATTTTAGATTTATTGTAGTGTCCCAGAAAAAAACTTGTATTCATTTTTTATTGAAAAATTTCAGAGAGAAATTTATCGCAGTCTAAATTTAGTGAAACCTGTAAAAATCGCACGTTGGTTCCGAACTTGCCAATCTTGACGTAAACAGTTTAATAGCCAGATGGTACTGATTGAGTGAGCAAACGATTTTACCGGGGCACGGAGGGGTCAAAAAGCATGGCAGGCATACTTTGATACATGATAAATTGGAGCTCTTACAGGTCAGGCATTTAACAACTAAGTCTATTTAGTTAGCCCCAATTGTGAAAAAAAGAGAGAACTCTCCCGCGATGAGAGAAAATAAAGAACACTGACTAGGGTAAACATTCTAAAAATTTCACGTAAAAAGATGACAACGAACAAAAAAGAGAAGAACTTAACAATATAAGAAATGCACTGTTCGGACCAAAAATGGCAATCGGACAAGGGGAATGCCAGTTAGATGATCAAAGCCACCGGTAACAGTCTGGAGGGCAGCCAGCCTGCTGGCGTGTGCCCCGGGACGGCTTGGCGTGTTTCTCTCATCCCAGAAGCACCACGAGCAATTAACGTATAACAGGGTTCCAAAGGGACGCGGAGGTGGAGGAAAGGGTTCCTTTGCAGCAGGTCTCGTTAGAGGGCCCTGAAGCCACGCTTGAGGGCACACACCTTCAGGAGGGGTAACTGCAGCGCCCGCATGGTGAGGCGTGGGCTGTCGTTGGACTGACGGCCCGCACGAAGTCCGCCAAGTCCACTTCCTTGTACTGATAACTGTAACCATGGAGAGGGTCCGCAGCGCCGGGAACTGAGGCAAAGCGGCGGTCATGGGCCAAGGACGCTGTACGATGAAAGCACGTCCAAAAGGGTCTCAAGGATACGGGCCGAGGGCGATGCGGCCAGTTCACGCAGCGGGGCAGTGGGATCAGGATCGGTGCAAGGAAACCCACACAGAGCGGAGCCGCGGTGCCCCCCGCAGGAGTTTCAGGACACCTTGAGGAAAATTACAGTACCGCCCGAATTTTTAAAGAGGAGAGGTTGGTAATTCTTCAGTTCGGACAGATCATCCCTCGAGTCTGTTTCGAAGACAAGGTGCGCAGGTCAGTAGCACTTTCAGTGACGACAGGGAATATGCGTCGAGTAAGGTGTACATCTTTGAGGGTGGCGGGATGCGCCTTCAGTAAAGCTTCCAGATAAGTATCTTGGAAAACGAAGCGTAGCTGAGCTGCTTCAAAGAAGAGATACCAGCCAATCATCCAAAAACGCAACAGCGGCTCTTGAGAACAATTAATAATTTGCAAACTATGGAGATGGTTTTTCACTGCTAATCGCGACAGCCAGTGGATGGATATTCCACTTTATGGCTTGCGCGGAAATGAGACGAAAGCTCAGAACGAGCTCCTTTAAACCCCCTAAGTTGCATTGGTTCAACACTGCAGTCGAAGCCCGCGCCACGCTCAGATTGGTTACAAACAGCTTAAACCGGGCAACAACCACCCAGTGCGAGACAACTCCAGGTCTTCAGCCCCCGGGTCAGTTTCATCAGTGAATCCAGGCACAGTTCGCGGAGGCAGGGTGCAAGGCGGAGGGGGGCGCGAAACGTGGGATCCCATCCCTTCACTCGGACGCGGCGCCACAGGTCCGCGTGCAGGCACAGGTCGCGGAGGGGGCGGCACAGCACGCGGCAGCTGAAGAGCTGTCTCGGCGGCAGGAACGCCAGCACGGCCAGCAGCGCGTCGTCCGGCAGGGCCAGCAGCAGCTGCGGCAACAAACACCACAAATGTTGGTTCAAGTCTCATTCCAGGATCGCGACATCACGGTGAAACGAATGCGACAAAATGTCACAATCCCTTCAGCGTTGTGTCACATTCGTTGGATGTGAATGACTGTTTCACATTCAAACTAATGTGACACAACACTGCAAAGCCAGTGGTAAGTTTGCTTGCCACAAATTTGGCAAGCCGTTTTCAATGCCTAAAATTGGCAAGTTTCGCCAAAATTTGGCAAGCTTTTGAAGATTTCTGGTCAAAGCTTGACAATTTTGGCATTCCAAAGGGCCTGCATAATTAGTGGCAAGCAAACTTTGCAGTGAATGCTTAAAGGAACGTGGCACCTTGTCGCATTCGTTTCGACGTGATGTCACGTTCCTGGAATGGGAGTGAATCAGGACTGGAAACCCCAAGGCATTGCACAAGGCACGCCCACAATAAATGTTTAGGTAGAATTTTGTATGTGCAACTTGCACGATTTTGTGCATACGTGGAATTTGCATAATATCATGCGTAAAGATGCATAAATTTATGCAAATTCACGCACAATTTAATGCACGACGGTACACAAGTTTAAAATTATGCATCACCACGTATAAAATTGCACATAAACATTTAGTGTGCCGGCGAGGTTCCCGAAAACATGGCGTGGAGGTCAACCGACAGGTCAACACTCTACTAGTCTTACAACTAAGAAATGCACAAAGTTTAAAAGAGAGGCTGAGAGGACACCACAGCCATTTTTCCATGTAGGACAAATGAACGGTGCACACCAAATAACCATGGACTTTTTTGTTAGCAATTACCGAGCGATTATGTTTCCGTTGCAAAACGTTATGAGAGGGTGACAATTCAATCACAAACCATAGACAAATTTGTGCACCGATTTTTGGAAGCACTATTGTTTATAAACTGAGCGCTAAATTGTTCACAAATGTGACAAGTATGTCCCTAACAAAGTTCACGAGAAAGTCCATAACACTACTTAGTATGTAGAAAATGAAACAAATTATGTCTATTAGCAATACGCTTATTTCGTCCCCAAGATCTGGAGGCAACGTGAAGTGTCCTACAGATCGACAAATTTGTCAACAGCCCTACATCACATTGTTTAAAAGCCATGGACAATTATGTGGACATTTGGTAACGCTTAAAAACGTTTCCACTTTGATTGCAATGTTGTCCCTGGAGTTTGTCCATGGGAGTTTTGGCGTCCAACTACGAACAAAATAGTGCATCAGTATTCACAATAATTGTTACGAGCCTGTTACGGACATTTGAATTGTTCCTGATTCTGTGAAGAAATAATGTCCATACATATTTGGCGTGTAGGAACGGTTATTTTGACGGCAACTTTCTTGAGATTCACAAGACACTTTGCAACCATATTGAAACATTACAATCACGGTTTAAAGTTCTTCCACTTTACAAAGTCTTAGGTCTCATCAAAATCCTATAGAAAATTTCCGAAATGCGTAAAGGACCACACAGATCAAATCTCGGCGAGGCTGAATCCTGGGGATACTGAGGCTACTTCGTGCCGAAAAAGAGAGGCAAAATTTGACCATTTTCACTGGTGTGTCTCCCTAAATTCGTTCGAAGAAAATGATTATTCATTTTATGATCAGTGATTACGCCGGTTCCTCCCCATAAATGGGGACATTTAGAGTGCTGACATGCAGTAGGGTGGAGCAATGAATCTAAAATCGAAAAAAAAAAATGCACATAAATGGGACCCTTGCGATACTGTAAGACAAGTGCCGAAACAGTTTTGGCCGGGGTAACCCGGTCACCCCCTTCTTGCCCGTCAGAGGACTCAGAGGACAATGGGTATAAACGTCAAAGATGACACTTTTTCCAGCTTAACATTGGAACCAGGGACAAATTTGACGTGCCCTATCTCGCTTTTGATGCGGAAAATATGTCCGAGTGCTGTGAATTTTTGGGAGAGCTGTCGGACTAGGTCTTTGGTCCGGGCGGAGGCCGTTGTAGTCAAACAACGGCGTGAAAATCGTCGGTTTTGCTGTAGTTTGATGTTTTTCGTCATCGTGCAGTGTGTTTTACCGTTAAACACGTCCTACTCGATACATATCTAAAGACACGCTCTTGAGTAGCATTTTGCTTTCACGACAGTGCGACAGGAAATTGTCCTGATCGCGCCGGAAGTACGCATGAAGCCTATTCCGTGTCCACTTCCGTGTACACTTCCGCGCGATCGGGACCATTTCCGGTCCCAGTCAGGTTACTTCCGCAGTTTAGTGGATGCAAAATGCTACTCAAGAGCGTATATTTACATGTGCATCGAGTGGGACGTCTTGAATGGCAAAACACACAGCACTGATGAAAAACACCCAAAGCAGCAAAAACGACGATTATCACGCCATTTTAAGACTAAAACGGCCTCCGCCCGGGCCAAAGACCTTGTCCGACAGCTCTTCCTTAAATTCACAGCATTCGGACATACATGCCGCAGGAAAAGCGAGATGTGCAGGTCAAATTTGTCCTGGTCCCAATGTCATGCTCGTAAAAGTGTCACCTTTGACGATTAACTATAATCGTAGGTCTAATTAGACCTATTTTGTGAGGCCTCTGATGGGGAAGAAGGGGGCGGCCCCGGTCAAAACAGTTTCAGTACTAGTCTTACAGTATCGTAAGATCCATTGCTCCACCCTCACATGCAGTCCATTGAAGTATCGACCGACACCCCCTGAATACGAAGAGACGACTTACCGATTGGTCCATTGTTACGGCGACGTTGCGGGCGATTCCTACAGCACGGTGAGGAAGTACTCTGGATCACGTTGTCAAGGCGCAGCCCTAGCAGTGGTACAGCCCAGCGCGACCTACAGCGGAAGAAGTCAGAGCACTGTGGGGGCACTCTCATTGCAAGTACGTGACGTCACGTTGAAACGAACATGACACACTGTCACGTTCGTTTGGGCATTGTGTCACATTCGTTTGAAAGTGAATCAGCCAAAAATTAGCTTGTTCACGTTCATTTTGTCACGTTCGTTTCAACGTTGTGTCACGTACTTGGAATGAGAGTGGGGGGCGAAGAACGAAAAAAAGTCAGAAAAGACCTCTCGTTTAGCCGATCGTAGGTTCAGTGGAAGTAAAATGAGAATTACAAAGCGTCTCGTGGGTCTGGGTTGTTGAATACCGAGCGAGTACAAGAACCAGAAATCCTATTTCTCATTTCCTCCGAACCGACGATCGACTCATTTCCATGTTTGATCTTTAGAGTTCCAATCTGAGTGTGCCTCTATCTATGAGAACTTTTACAATCACGTTTACTCCCATCGAACCAACGGTCGTCAAGGCATTCTTTCCAACGTCAGTTTTTTATCTTCTTAATTTACAGTCTACGAATGATCCAGAGTACCCTTACGATTGTAACGTTACGCTAGTGGAAGACACTCGCGTGTGGCCGAGGTCTGAAAGTGGATCGAGCCATCACTCAGCAGGATGATGAAATAAAATGCAATCTAATGAAACTCTCAGTCGAGTAAAGAACAAAGTTAATCAAAAAGCAAGGAACCAGTAGCGGCCAGTACTGGAAACTTACAACAGCAAAACTTGATGTCACAAGCGCAGTCGTCGATGAATTCAAAGCAGCGACCGCTCGGTAAGTGGCGTGCTGTTGGTTCCTGATGTCTGATTACTTTTGCTTTTTACTCAGCAACGAGTGAAAGGGTCTGTTCTTGTTCTATTCTTTTCTTCTTAAAACTCCGTCTTATGATGGTTTCCAGCGTACTATCTAGTAGTATTCACACTAAATTACTATGAAGGTTTTTCTGCGCGCCAATGCACGAAATTAACATGCACTTCGTAACGCACGAATTTGTGCGCGACAATGCACGATTTCGTGCGCAAGTATGCAGAAAATCGTGCATTGTCGCGCACTCATTCGTGCGTTACGAAGTGCATGTTTAATTTCGTGCATTGGCGCGCAGAAAAACCTACATATAAGTTTAGAGTGATTGGGAATCGCGGGTTGAACATGACGAACCTCCGGATTCTGTCCGTCGTACCTTGTTTTGCCTGACTTCGAGAAGGCAACTAAATCAAAACTCACGAGGTTTACGTACCTCCTGTTGTGAATACCACAAACAATTTTTCTTCAGATTCTTGCCGGAATGGTGTTTCACTGTTTTCCTACCTTACGCCATTCAAATACTGCGAAATTGTATGCTTCTGAACTTCTCTTTGAACTGCGAAATTGTATGCTTCTGAACTTCTCTTTGAACTGCGAAATTGTATGCTTCTGAACTTCTCTTTGATGGTCCAATTGCAACTCTGAAATCCGGTTCGTACTGATTCCTACTGCCCTGGGAAGCTGGCGGCTTCAAACTTCCTTTTCTGTTCTTCCGGCCCAGAGCCTGTCGGTGTCGGGGTACCCCATTTGAGAGTTCATCCCCTGTCGAAAATCTACCCCAGGGGCATTCCAGAGCCGATTGACAGTGGTACAAGTTTATCATTGACGATTTTGCTCATTTTCGTCTCAAATGTCACCTACCCATAGGTTTACGCCCCTACGAAATTCAGCCCTCTAGGTCAATTAGTTTGGGAACTGTGAGCAATCAAAGCTTTTGGCTTTTTTTTCTTAAGGGGCAGTAGCACTTTCTGCACGCTTTTTCAATTTTTTTCGAATTTTCCGTTTGCACCTGAATTTAAAAGACTTCCATGAATGCTAGAGACAAACGACAGTAACCATGTAAAAGATCAAACTTTTTGCAACAACTTCAAAAAAAAATATTTTGTTTTAGCATAAGGGGAGGCACTTATATGAGGGACGTAAAAAAGGTCTGCAAAATCATACATGGTGTCACTGCGCGCAAGATTTTAGCCAAAGTTTTCAACTTTTTTTCAATCGGTAAAGTGCATAAAAAAGAGCATAAAATTGCCTACAAAATGAACCACGGGGGTCAATATCGGGCCGAAAACGCTGGTAGAAAAAGGTAATTTTTCACAAATTTTCCATTGAATGCATTTTTTTTGTTCGATACTATATATCTAGTAGCATTTTTCATCCGATATTAACCCCCGTGGTTCATTTTGTAGGCAATTTCATGCTCTTTTTTATGCACTTTACCGATTGAAAAAAAGTTGAAAACTTTGGCTGAAATCGTGCGCGCAGTGACACCATGTATGATTTTGCAGACCTTTTTTACGTCCCTCATATAAGTGCCTCCCCTTATGCTAAAAAAAAATATTTTTTTGATCGCAATCGGAGACCAAGAGTGAAGGCGGCAGAATATATTTTAAAGTTAGCTGCAAAAATCTGCCGCAGCGATTTCTCATACTTGCGCCCGCTCGACCAATCAACCAAACTGATGGGATTTACAATTATTATAGCTGTCTTTACTCTTGATCTCCGATTGCGATGAAACTTACAATGGAGCTGTAGAATTGACTGGCCTACAAGGTGGGTGGTTGGATTTACAGTCTGAGAAATAGTTTTCACACATTAAGCTCCACAAAATACTTGAACTGTTTTGGCGGTTTTGCAGCGCTTCGGGCCTTTTCGTTTTATTTAGAAGTTTGACCTCCTTTTGCAAATCCAACACAGCAGGGCGATAGAAAATTGAATTCTGGGTTGCTTAGTGAGGTTGACAATGCTGAGAAAACTATTTTAAACTGTGCTTTTAACCTCCAAAGTTGCAAAATACAATTTTGGACCAAAAAAGGAAATTAGTTTTTGGATCGGCATTTCTGCTACAGACGTCGTATTGGCGTTCCAAGTGTACCACGCAACCCGGAAAATAGTGGCCAACAACCGGCTCGCTGTATGTATGGACCTAAAACGAACGGAAATAACTTTTTTTGTGAAAGGGAAACTTCAAGTCGGCTGTCTGGTGCCGTAAATTTGGTTTTCAAATTGATTTTAGAACTGTTTTACATATCCAAAAGTCCATTCCATTGCCACTCACGGATAGGAAATTTTGCGTAGAATCTAAAAGTGACCTCGTTTACTCAGTTCGATGCAGTTTTGACAAAGTTCTGTTTAATTTGGTTCGGCCGCGCGGCCCAGCCGCCCGTCCGCTCCTTGCCGGCCCGAGCGGCGCGCATAGCTTCACGCGCGCACTACGCTGTTGCCACCCCCTGATTTGAGATAGTCGCGAGGAATGATTCCCCATCTAGAGCGGGTCCAGTTTGGGTTTCCCGGGGATAGGTAGAAAATTTAAGGTTGTAAACACTAAACACATTTATTTTTTGCCTTTGAGTGCATTTTTATCACCGATGGATTGCTTTGGGGCCGATTCTGCGGGCAGATTCGAATTTGCCACTCAATTTTTCATCTGGTATCTATTTTCATACCTCAGGCCCAAAAATAAAGAATCCCGGGGCATTTTAGTAGGTACTAATTAACCTAGAGGGGTGAAATTTTGTGCGGTCGTTTACCCATGGGTAGGTAACATTTGAGCCAAAAATGAGCCAACGCGGTCAACTTCGACCAGTCCATCGGGTCTGGAATGCCCCTAAGGTAGTTTTTCCTACTAGGGGTAACTCTGAAATGGGGTACTCCGAGAGGCTCTGGCCCGGAACAGAAACGGAAGTCAGAAATGACAGGTTCTTTGTGAAATTGCGCTGCTGACGAGCTCCAGACCTCGTCCGCTGCACATGGTTTTCATATAATCTCTCAATTTTGACTTCTGGATGGATTGGTTTCCTTCTGGCCCAGAACCTCTCGGAGTACCCTAGTGTGTAACCGTAATTTTTTTAGCACTTTGAGCTACACATTACCACTTCAGCATTTGCCACCTGAAGTGGAACGTGTCCCAATTTTTGACAATGAATTCAGGGAAAAGGGTTTTCGTCATCAGTCCGGCAGCGGCTAAATTTCGTCGCTGTTTTCTGGAAAATGTTTGCAGAGTTGAGTGCTTTTTGATCACACCCGGGTGGTGACGCTGCGGTCGTTCTATCCCCGCGAAATTGCAAATGGACCGATGTGCCACCGTTTCCTAAATGGAATCGATGAACCATTTGACCAAAAAAAATATTCGAACGAGTGGCATCAAAAAGTGGATTGTCGCTACGATAAGACACGTCGGTCTGACGTTCACGTGTATGATAAAGTTTAGGGTGGCAACTTTGAAAAACTATGTACTAGCAACCTTTTTACAGTGTATTCGCATTTGTCTAACTTTGCGTTTGCCTTCGGCTGCATGGGGGTCAATTTCAACAAAACCACACAAGTGATGGAAACTTTTTAATACTGTATATTTGCATTCGGTTAGTAACATGCCGCTGGAATGATGATGATAGCTCTCCGCTGTCGGGTTATTTTTGAGTGGATTGAAGTCTTGAGTGGGGCGTTCGCGTAACCTGGAACAGAATGGACAGCACTCATCCGAGATTAG